AAATGTGATTTTAGCACCATGTAATCATTAATTTTGTTAATCAAAAAAACAACAGAAGCTTTCCTTTCAATAGTACATAGTGGTAGGTGTATATTATGATAATGCAAGTACATGAGTTGTATCCAATCCAGTATTTAACTCCTCCACTAGTAAGTCCCCAACCAGCAATGGATATCTCGTGATCCAGCTAGTGCAGGTTATAAGTTGATGTAGGCGATGGTAATGGTATATATGGTGGTAGCAATGTGCATATTTGCATTGTAAAGGTCAGAGGTTATAAGGTATTATAGGTAATGCTATGAATGTACTTGTATAGCAAGGTTAATATGATGGTATAGGTACACCTATTGAGGATCATTATGTTATGATGTAGGTAATGGAACATATAACAAGGTTAATATGGTGTTTATCATAATGGTTTTACAAGTGTATAAAGGGTCATAGAGCAACAAACAGCTGGGTTATAGGTACTAAAGTGCCTATACTATCTCAAATTTCTCACACGGTCTTCTTGCTGCCATTATTGCAGTTGATCATGTAATGCCACACCTTTCAATCTACATGCATGGGAGGGGCTGGAGCTGCTTGCATGTACGTGCTGCAGTGCTGCTACTTCTGTAAGTATTCAAGAGCAACTGACTTGTATTCAAGAGCATAAAAATTTCTTGAGCTGAGCATGCGCAGTACAATATACTGGGACCACCCACAAGGTGGGTGGCCCCAATATTTGGTCCCACCCACCAAATACTGCAGCTAGCTAGCCTAAGCTCTCCTGTCTAAGAGATTAGCCGTCCTGTAGACCTGTTGAGTGGTCTTTGCAATAGGAAAGGCTTTAGAGGTAGGCTACTCTTTTTGTAAGGTCCCCAGAGACAGTGCATGTGTGTTATAATAGGAACAGTTTAGTGTGGTGTAGTATATTGTAAGTCTGGCCGTACCATTCTCGATAGACTTCATTGGCCACTACTACCTGCTAGTTGTGGCGGCACAGTGTAGCCAGTTTAAATGGAGCTATTGGAGATAAAATGATTTTAATGAAAACCTACTCACTAAAAATTGTTTTCTGCATTTTTGCTACTGTGATGCCTTTGTTGTACATAATGGGCAGTACTGTTTGATTACATGTATGTGCACTGTCTCCCGTTCCATTTCTAATGGGCATGCCTTGTATGTACATATATTGTGTCATAATGTGTTGCTGTTTGTCATATGTAGCTGTTATTCAATACAATACCAGGTAGTTCACACACTCCTTTCTTTAGACAGCATGCCTCGAGTTGATTCTGAGCAGAGGGTAACTGGTTTGATACTTAGAGAGGATCCTACCACCAGCAACTACTCTCAGTCTCTACTGGTCATTAACTTTAGCTCACGTCTCCTCTCACTTTACCCAGTTGAAGCAGCTGTGAGTCACTTTTGTTATTAGAGACACTATAGTTTGTGTATTTTTCATTTTCCCAGAGATTCCTGTCATATTTTTATGCCATTTCTAAAACCGTTTGCATGTAATCCTACACCAATGATGATAATTATAATAGATTGTACATAAATGCTTTCTATTCAAATGCAGCATTATGTCTAAATAATGATTGAATGGATATTGTTGTTTGAAATGATCGTCCAAGCTTATTGACAACAAGTACGAGCTGCAATCAATAGCCTCAGATAGCACCATAATGTTGTGTTGCACAACTAACTGACATCAATCGATCCATATGAGAATTATGATCCATATCTAACTGTACATGTACATGCTATTATTGAATTATTGTGTCTGTAGGGAGCTACTGATTTCACTGAATACATTCCAATAGAAGAAATAAAATGTTCCTATATCACTAAGGTGCATGTGCACTATACTGTAGTGTGTAGTATCATTATTAGTCTATTAGGTCAGTGTAGTTACTGCTTCAAGACCAAAGGTATTGAACTGTTTTGGTTAGTACCTCAACATCATAATATTAGACTTTTGTGTGCCCTATTCTACAGAGCTGGTTACAACTGGAGTGTCAAGATTCTTTTCAGTTAATTCAATTGAAGAAAGAGATGAATGGATTGATGCTATCAAACAATCATCAGTAAATCAATAATAATAATAATAATAATAACAGTAATAGTAAGTAATGATAATAATTAATGATGATGGTGATGATGATAAATAGTACAGTAAGTTAAGTTACCCGTTACAAGGGATGGCTCAATATTTTGATATGGCGATCATACTCATGTACATTAGAGATAATGTATCATAACACTAGAATGTTTATTGATTTATCAAGCAATAATTATGTTTATATAATTTGTGTGTTTATCTATGTATGTATATATATATATATATTTATATATATATATATGAATGAGTTTATTGTGTAGATGAGTCATAAAGCATATCTACCAGACACAAAGGATAAGGTGCACTGTGAGACAGCTTATAGGAATCAAATAATAGGCGGAGTTATACAGAGAAAACCAATGAAACCTGTTAGTACTGACCAGTTACTTGATAAGAGACCCATTGCATTGTTATTGATAGGAAGCAGCTGGTACTGATGAAAGAACTGATCTGACATCATCAGGTCCAGCATCAGTTGAACTGCCATCAGGCCACACCCCCACCTCACCCGAGAGAAAGAAATATCAGCTAATAGTAAAAGCAGGTCATGCCACTAAGTGTGGAGCTGTTGTAAGCAAATCCAGCTTGTACACCATTTGATTAATACCACCATTATAACCATGAGATACATTGTTCATGGTTTATATATTTTTGATTAGATGAAAAATTGGAAGAGAAGGTTCTTTGTACTCAGCGACCAATCACTGGGTTATTATAAATGTATTGAGGTATGCCACTAGCACCACGTACTGTACATTATATATTGTGTAGGAGGTTGATCCAATTAAAACTGTTGCTGTAAGCGATATGCTTTCTGTTGGACCAAGTAAAATGTTAGTATTATAAGAGAGAGTATTGGGATGCTACATGGATATTATTAGGATATTATTAGGATATTAATTTATTTAGACATGCAAGCAAAGACCATTTACTTGAGCTGGTTACTCCTTCAAGAACGTACTACATACAAGCAGATACTGGCATGGACATGAAGGAATGGATTGAAGCATTCCAGTCAGTTATATCACGAGCAAGATCAACTAAAGTATGATTATATATCCATCATACATAATGTGTACATACTGTATATTATAGTCAATGCCTGTTTCTACTAAAGAGAGAACAGCCTCTGATCATATGGCAATACAACCTTATGATGCTTCACCAAAAATTGTTGCTGCTACTAACCAACATAAAGAAACACAAGACAGTGACCTCTCACCTGGTGAACATTCAAATGGTGACACTAATAGTATTGATGACACCTCTCTTGTGGGAATTCCTGTGTGATTTATGTATTGTTTGTGCGTGAAGAATATTATTATTATTATTATTATTATTATTATTATTATTGTTGTTGTTGTTATTGTTGTTGTTGTTGTTGAGAGAATTATTACGATACACTATTAGATCCTGAATTATAATTTTATTTTTCATGGTATCATTGGTATGTGAGTAATGTGATGTGAGGATTGTGAGCTCCTCCCATTACAAAATGAAGTCTTTAGAGGAATTGTGTCTTACTCTTATCTCAAGGAATATCGGTGACTTCTCCTCCAGATTGGGGCCACACCTGAGCACTAAGCACAAAGAAATGATCTTAGAAAGATTGAGCTGGCATGGTAAGACAAGACTTCGTTAACTGTTATCATTAGTTCTTTGTACAGGTTTGTTTTCACAACAGCTATTACCAATCATTTCTTATCAGTTATTCTCTTCATCCCTTCAGAGAATTAATTTAACTGATTCAGAGCAGATTAATGACAGCACACTTGAGCTCCTGGGAGTATCTCATTGTCAACCAGTCTCATTCACTCTACACAAGTGCCCCTTGGTGACCAGTAAGAATAATGCATCAAATGTGTAGCATTGTTCATGGCATTATACAGATAAAGGTATTGAATTACTCTCGAAACTCTCCTTTTTTATCAAAATGGAATATTTGAAATTGTCAAAACTAAAAGGTCTTGAAGGCAGTGAGGGTTTTCAAAGAGTTGGCTCAAAGTCTGTCAAACAGCTGGTGCTGACTGGATGCAGTGGGCTGAGGGACAAAGGTTTGATTGACATTATAAAGAGATGTACTTCTGTATGTGAGTTGGACTTATCTGAAAATCACAAGCTAACAGATGAATCAATAATTAATGTATCGCAAACACTAGGAGGCAATCTAGTAATAATCCAATGCAGTTATATCATTATCATTATTATGTACATATTTAGAGAGAAATATCTTGTAATGAACTATCAAACTTAACAAATGCTTCAACAATGGCCCTCGCTACATACTGCCATTGTGTCGTAAAGTAAGTTTATTAATATTCATTGATAGTATTATTAATTACTGTTGTAGAGCTAACTTTGAAGGTTGTGTGAAGCTTGATGGCTCTGGATTAATTCAAGTAACAATGATAATGATGATATAATTATTATTGTATGTACATGTATTTTGAAAGATGGCTGAGAATTGCTTATTAGAAGAACTGAATATTTCATTTTGTTATAAGCTCCAGCCACTAACAGTTGATACTCTAGTGTCTACTCTCAATGCCAAAGGCCCTTTGAAATCCATTGACTTGATGGCAATCAGTTTTGGAGACTTCACAGTTGAGTTTATTTCATCATGTCACTCTCTGTCACACCTTTTCACTGCTGGAGTATCCATGAATGACAATGACTTTGACACTGTGAGTTTCAAAACTAAACCTACAATATTATATGACTAGGAGAGGATTCTCCATTTTCATTACATTTTCCAATACTTTACGTTTTTCTCTTGTGCAGTTGTGTCGTAGTTTAGGTTCTACTCTTAAACAGTTAGATATATCTGGTTGTCCTTTGCTAACTGATTCCTCATGTACATCTATTGCACAACAGCTACAGTGAGTTCATGATGTATAGTTCAGTTAATTCATAATTTGAAGGAAAATTGAGTTTATTGGAATGAGAAACATGAAAGATATCAGCGGCTCCAGTTTGATGGAATTATTTCAAAATCAATCGAGAGCTGATAATATTAAATACGTAGCATTCTCTGGATCAAAAGATGTCAGTTATTAGCAGTCATTATTATTCGCTATCAATTTATATGTAGATTGATGTTCAAGTTATTGAATCAATAGCAAGAAATTGTCATAACATAGAAACGCTTCTTTTAGCTGGTTTAAAAGGAATTACTGATGATGTTGCATTTCTCCTGTCCGATAACTGCCCTCAGTTAACACACTGTAGCCTTAGAAATTGTTCACTGACAGACATTGGAGTCTCTAGACTAGCAGTTCACTGCAAGAAGCTTGTGATGCTCGCATTAGCTGGGATTCATCAACTAACTGACCTCTCTATACATGCTTTAGCTAATAACTGTCCTTATCTCGATGAAATACATCTTTCAGGATGTGCCTTAATTACAAAACAGGCTCTGGCATTTCTATCAGTAAGGAAAAATGAGAAAATTGTGTAATTTAACGACTCTTGTACTGTGTAGGATACAGTGATATGCTCTTTATGGATCAATCATAATGTACCTAATGCTCCTCCTGGACTGCTAATGGCTAAAGACCTTGATACCGGGAAATATCAAAGAGTTGATAACTAAATATAATTATGTACACTTTTAACGATTTTTAATGTTTGGACAGTCACAATAATACTCAATAGGGCGTGTCTGTTTGATTGCTTTTAATATGGCTGGTTGGGTGAAGAAGGTCTTGTTTGGAAGGCAGTTGAGTCATGGCTCAGATAATGAGAATCCAAGCTCTTTTGAAGAAGCTTTTCAACAGCAGCAGACAGTCCTCAATGTCTCCAATCTATCCACAGTAAGTTCAAGTAACGGGTCAGCTTCAGGGGCAACACTAAATTATTTACTTGCTATTGTATCTGCAGCCTGATTCCTATATTGAAGAACCACCACAACTAATGCCACAGACACTACAAGTAAAGCAATATGTTGTTGCTCATCAGTAAATTACCTCTCTCTCTCTCCAGACACCAGGAGGAATTGCTTCTGGTCCAGGGAGCAAAGAAATGACCACTGCCTACAATATTAGTAATAAAATAGTTCGGGAAAGGATTGAGCAGGAGGCACCAGAGGATGTTGCCATTTTGGATTCAATTGCAGAGAGTGACATTGTGTGTGTGCGTGGCACATATGATCACATTCATCTTGTATTGAAAGCTATTGATGTGCCATTTGCACACGTAACACCAGCTCAACTACTCAAGATGGATCTCAAACCTGATCAGACAGTTTACGTCAACTGTCCTTCTAGTTTTCCACCTGAAGCAGCTAAGAAGCTATCAGGATTTGTTGAATCCGGTGGTATGTTGATTACTACTGACTGGGCACTTAAATATGTACTAGAGGTTGGTTTCCCAAACACAGTAAAGTACAATGGGCGTGCGTCAGGAGATGAAGTAGTATCAATTGAGATTGTTGATACTAATGATGATGTGCTTAAAGGTTTCATAGACCAAGAGAAGGATGCAGCCCCAGTGTGGTGGTTAGAAGGTTCCTCCTATCCAATACAGGTCCTCGATAGAGAGAGGGTTAAAGTTCTTGTTCGTTCTGATGAGCTCAAGCGTCGTTATGGTGAAGATCCTGTCATCATTAGCTTTGAATGGGGAAAGGGTATAGTCTATCACATGATCAGCCACTTTTATTTGCAACGAAGTGAAACAAGGACAAAGAAACAAGAAGGAGCTGCCTCATCTTATGCCAAAGCACAGAACCTCTCGGCTGCTACTGTCAGCATGCTTGAGGACATGGAAATGGACTCTTCTGAACTGAATTATGGAGCAATCCAAAGTGCAGCAACTTCTTCTGAGTTCGTATCTCGTGCTATAGTTAAACAAAAGAAGCGAAATATGAAACTTTAACAACACAATCAAGTTTTATTTGGCCTGTGTAGTCACAGTTTTAATTTTTTTTTTTTCATTTTATAGCTAGTTAGTTACTATTTTTTATAGTTTTTATAGTTGTTTTATGATTTTGCCTTCCACGTTCATTAGCCATTAACCACACCTCATCAATAATATAATTAGACTATGTCTTCGGATCAAAATAAAGGAATAAGAGGATCAAGAACTACTGCTGCTTTTAGAGTTATTAACTTTGAATTATTTGCCAAACCAGTAAGTTAAAGTGAAGCCTATGATATTACTGTCCATGCTTTGTCTTGTACAGAACAAGAAAGTTATGTTAATTGGGGGAGCTTGTTTTGCTGGTTGCTTGACATTTCTACTCTTCCTAAACCTTTCTCACGACAGGGCCAAACCAAACAAATCAATTGAACGAAACTCACTCATAACTAGATGGGAAAAGTAGTGAACTCATAAAAAATAATTTGTGTAGATATTTCACTTAATTTAAGTCAGGAGTTTGCTGCATAGATAGTATTGACTTTTTATTGGCACTGCTGAATAGATTTTACAAGGAACATGAAAATACCAAATTGAAGATAAAAATTGTAGCCTGCAGTTGATGCATATGTATCAGCAGAGCCCATGAAATCATTGCCTTCTTGTATCAGAAAATATCATAGAAATGAAAACTTTTACATTTAATTTTTGGTGAAATTCGCCCAAAATCCCTGTATTCTGGTGCAGGGACTTTGAAGAAACTTTTAAAATTTATAAATAAAATTGATTTTAATTGGAATAAGTTTAAAATTTCTACACAACATGCATGAGTACATATATTATGCATCAGAAATTGTAATAAATTTGAGGAATTTTCTACTTTTCATTTCAAACAAATGTCCCTGTACTATAATAGTACAGGGACTTTGGCTCGTTTTTTGATTAACTTTAAGGTAAAAAATTCTCTGAGTATTATTGTATAGTGTTAAATCTTCTGAAATAAAAATTACAATAATAAAGACAGTCATTGTTAGCTTTTAGTGTTGATTACAGCTGATTAATAATAATAATAATAATCTCGATAATGATAATCAGCTACTGTTGTAAGCACAACAAAGCCACAAATAAATATCCAAAGAAGAGCAACAATATTCAAAATGAGAGCAGCAAACCCAAACCGCTTTGCTTTAGGATAGAACTCTATTCCCCTGGTCTTGGTCTCCCATGCCTATAAAAATAATAACAAATAATAATAATAATAATAATAATAATAATAATAATAATAATAATAATAATAATCATATTAAACTTACAAACATGGCACAGCCCAGAGCTGGTATAGAAAGGAACAGAGCTGTAATGTTGAATATACAAGATATGACCAAAATTATGATTGATGGAATAATGTAGTCATTAGGAATGAGGTATGAGGGTAGCTGTGGTTTGTGTTGAATATAGTAAGGATATGATACCACCATTGGCTGGTAAGGTTGTGCCTGCACCTGTGAATTAAGATCTATAATATACACTACAACAGTTTAAGAGTATAATACCATCATAGGCTGAGCAGGAAGGACCCCTTGTTCATAAGATGGAGGAGCAGTAGCACTGTTCATCTTAGAGAGGATACACTGGCCAGTAAGACTGATAATCACTGATTCAATAAAGAGTAGCCAGAGTTCATGAGAATTCCTTATACCTTGAAATGAGATCACACCTATCTGACGTCATCGGTATGACCTAATAATCTGTTTACTCAGCAAAATAAGAATTCAATTTTAGCTCAGTGCATAGCATTCTTTGTCATCTCCTTCCTTGTCGATCAGTCAATCTCTCCTTGTTCTTTTTAACTGTAGAGTGTTACTCCTCCTAATGGATCCTTCTACTAATACAGAACCTGCTCCTCCAGTTCAGCCTAACCCTGTAATGACTGGACAGCAGCAACCAATGACTGCTGCTCCTGGTCAAATAATGGTACCAATGGCTGCTCCTGGTCAACCTGTACAGTATGTGGCCGGGCAGCAAGGAGGTATGGTAATGATGCCACAGTATCAACAAGTAAATGAAACACTCTCCCTTCCCCCAGTCTGTTTTAATTATGATTTTTTAGGCTCCAGGGAACATTGCTGTAGACCGTAGACTCCTCCCTGACCATCATCTGATAATAGTCTCACTAGTCACTTTGTTGTGTCTTGTTGTCAACTTGAGTTCACTGCTCTTTGGTGCACCTGCTCTTATTTGCTCTTGGATGGTATGTGACGCACATTATGCCCTGGAGTGGTTATATTCTCTTTTAGGCTTACGAAGACAAAAAGAAAGGAAATTACAAGAGTACAAAGACGTATGGTTACACTGCAGTTGCCCTCAGTCTGTGTAATATAGTGTACACTGGTATTGTGACACTAATAATAATTGGACTCACTTTTGGACTCCATTGTGGGGGATCAAGATACAACTGTTGATATTATTCATTGTTATTATTATTATTATTATGCTGATTTATCTGTAGTACTCATTGACTCAAAACAGTATCATTGTTTTTATTCTAATAAAATCCCTTTTCATTTTATTTTAATGTTATTAACATCAATAGTGAAGTGTAACAACTTCCCTAATAATAGGAATACCGTATATAGCTCTTCTTAAATGGATTAAAATAATTTCTGAAAAATAGAAAATGTATAATTTACAAGTCCTTGCTTCTAGGAGATCTTACACAGTAATTCATTATTATTGTCATTATTTATTATTATTGTTATATAGGTGGACTGTACACAGGACTATGATATTCAAACTAGAATACAGACTCATCAATCATTTATTAACAGACTAGGATATTCTTCACAGTTACAAGTAAACCACAGCTATATATACATGTACTTGTACTTGTGTTCTGTTTAAAGTTCAAGTTTGACATATGAATGGTGAATATATACTTGTACGAGCAGTCATTTTTATTATTATTAAATTGTTAGGGACACAATGGCTGTGTTAATTGTCTACAGTGGAATAACGATGGAAGGTAGTAATAATATTAATGTATAAATTAATTTGTTAATTTATTGATAGTTTATTAGCTTCTGGTTCTGATGATTATAATGTCCATATTTGGAATGTGCCCAGAGGATCTAGTGTGGCCTGTATGCCTACTGGACACATTGGGAACATATTCTCAGTAAAGGTGAGAGAGACGGGGGGGGAGAGGCCAGAGGGAGAGGTAACATCTGTTGTAGTTTGTACCATTCTCAGGAGATCAGATGATACTAACTGGAGCTGAGGACAGAGAGATACGTCTACATGATCTGACAAACTTTGACACAGTTCAAGTGTGGTCATGTTGTAATGGCAGAGTTAAGAGATTAGCTGTTTCAGATCAATCACCATATTTAACCTGGAGTGCCTCAGAAGATGGCTGCATCAGGTATAGAATACCAGTTTTAAATATCAGGGATTATCTTCTAGTCATATGCTAAAAATTTCCTAATTTTGGTGAAATTAGGCTAGAATCCCTGTAATATAGTACATGAACTTTTGTCCAATTTTTAACAACTTTAAGAAATTTTTAAAAATCCAAACTTGATCGGAATCAATTCAGACTTTCTACACAACATAAGAACATGTATGTGCATCAGAAAATGTAATAAAAATGAGGAATTCTTTTGCATTCTTAGGCTCAAAGTATTGCATATTATTACTTGATTTTTAATTAATAGACAATATGATACAAGAGAGAGACATTCCTGTTCCACTGACGGACGCTGTCGTAATGTCCTCATTGATTTACACAGCACTTGTGGCTCATCCTCATCTCAAGGATACACTCAATGCAAGTGTTTGGATGTTAATTCAGTCAAAGATGAACAGCTGGTGGTCGGTGGGTTTGATCCATACGTAAGACTCTACGACCGTCGTATACTCTCCATCTCCTACCCATCGACCAATGTCTCTCCCTCTGCCGACCACAGCTGCATTGCTCACTTTAGTCCTGGTCATATTACGAGAGACAGAACTAAGCAATCCTCTGCTAATTATGTAGCTGCTACTTATGTGTGTTTCAGTCCCTGTGGTCAAGAAGTACTTGCTAATTTATCAGGAGAGCAAGTGTACCTGTACAATACAGTTAGTCTTGATCATTGTATTAAATATGTGCCTGGAGATGATGGTATACTCTCTCTAAAGAAGCCACTGCCTTCGATCCCTGTCTCCTCGTGTACCCACACTTGTGATCCATCTCTCCTTGATGAGGGAGAGGTACCCTACGCTGCAAGAGAGCTCCGGAATAAAGGGAATGAGTACTACCAGAGGAAGCAGTACACAGAGTCCATCATTGAGTATAGTAATGCTATACTGGAGTGCCCTCACTGGCACATACTGTACTCTAATAGGGCCACTGCTCTTGTCAGTAGAAACTGGTAAATTGTTTATATTCATTACAATTATTATTATCGTTTATTTATAGGCCTGGTGATGTATATGACGCATTAAAAGATACTGAAAGAGCTCTCTCTTTATGTCCTACTCACATCAAGTCACTCAAAAGGAGAATAAAGTGTCTCAAGTTATTGCACTGGATAAAAGATGCAAGAGGGTTTCTTAATGTTTATGAATCAATTCAACCTCAAGACAAAGAATTCATTAAAACAATGGGTGCTGCACTTTCCATTGAAGAAGGTAATAGAAGGATTGCTTTATTATTCTTATCATTATCATCAGGTCGTAACGGTTACAATAATCCTACGGTACCTGAGGGTGTGTCTGACTGGGAGGCAAACCGTCAATCCACAGCTAATGACTACAGACAGCGTTACACTGGACACTGCAACAATCACACGGACATCAAGGAGGCAACATTCCTCGGGGAGAGAGGAGAGTACGTTGGAGCTGGTAGTGATGACGGTAATGTATTCATTTGGAATAAGAAGACTGGTAATCTAATTCGTGTGTTACATGGAGATGAATCCATTGTTAATTGTGTTCAATGGAATCCTACCAGTTGTACAATGGCTACCAGTGGAATAGAGAGCATCATCAAGATATGGGAACCTAGACCAACTGACGAAGACAGTGATTTGGTAGAAAAGGACATGGTACACGTTTGTCAGAGAAACCAGTTAAGAAGAAGAGTGGATCCATTTGAAATGATGCTGTGGGGTTTACGAATGATTGAAGATCCTTCAGTAGATCATGTACCACAACAACAGTGTCAACAGAGCTAGTCATTTCTGATTAATATTATTATTATTATATAATTGTGTGTTATTTGACATGTTCTATCTGTGATAAAATTATTGTTATAATCTGGAATTGCTACTTGATCTGTCATAAAAATTACATTTTGAAGTACTTCCTGCCCATAGATTGCTAATGATTGTTACTTGCTTGACGTATCTCTTGTTCAAGACACTGCCTCTCTCTAAGATAAAGGCAAGCAGCTGGACATGTTTCAAAATGTCACATGATAGTCTCACATTTTTAGAGCTTCAATCCTATTGTCAAGTTGTGTTAAGTGATCATTAGCCTATTTCAATTAATAACATTTACCATCACTATAACACAGTACCTTGACAAAGAATGACTCAAATAATCTTATACGATTATCTTCCTGAAATTGGTAAATTTGAGCTAATCTTTGAGCCACAGATAGTGGATCTTGGAAATAAATTACAATTGGAGGAGGTAGCTAGAGAGGTATGATAATGGGTAGAGGGTTAACTGGAGGTCAATTAAGACTATACCGGATGGACTAGAGCCACAAAGGCACACTTCATAAGACAAACTGGGCAGGAGTCTACAAAACACAACACAGTCCATATATCAGCTAAATAGGAGAGGAGCTCATACCAGTTGAGCCGTTAGTGCATGGCCTACAGACCAAGTGACCACAGCTAGCAAGAGCTAGCCTAACATTAGCTGAAGGTCTACTCATACACTTATTGCAATGGACCCAATCTGAAGACATGACCAGTCACTCTGACTGACCAGCTGCAGCACTTTCTTTAAGAATTAACGTTAATAACAATCCACACCCACAGCTCCACGTGTTCTCTTCTGGTTCACAAGAATCATAGATATGTTGGTTCTTTTTGAAACTGCTGCTGGTTATGCTATATTTAAAGTAAGTGAGTTCCCGCTAGCTGTTCCTTTTAATGAGGTCTAGTTGTTGGACGAGAAGAAACTACAAAAAGTTGATGACCTTTACAATGAGTTTGAGACACCAGAAAAGGCAAACAAGCTGTAAGGTGTATGTATAATTAATTATCAATTTATATTATTAACTTTTAGTTTAACATTGAAAAATTTTGTAAAGTTTGATGACATGACGGATGCTTTGGGAGGTTAGTGTATGTTAGTCTCAGTATTTAACTATTGGTTGATATTCTTAAGCTGCCAATGCCGCCATTGAAGGAAAAATGACCAAAACACTGAAGAAACTTTTGAAAAAGGTTTATGTATCAGATATACATGAGCAGTTAGCTGTGGCTGATAGTAAGTTAGGGAAGACAATCAAAGACAAGCTGAACATAAGTTGTGTTCAAAACGATGGAGTCACTGAACTAATGAGGGGAATCAGGCAACACATGACAACTCTAATTAATGCTCTCCCTGATTCTGACGCTAACGCAATGACACTTGGTTTGTCTCACAGGTAATAAGTATCAATAACTATTAATAACTGATGTGGAATAGTCTCTCGCGTTACAAGTTAAAGTTTAGTCCTGATAAAGTAGACACAATGGTTGTACAAGCAATTTGTAAGTAACTTTTAACTTATTAATAATAGTTATTATCGTAATTACTAACAGCACTGTTAGATGATCTTGACAAAGAGTTGAATAATTACATAATGAGATGTAGGGAGTGGTACGGCTGGCACTTTCCTGAACTAGGCAAACTTGTACCTGATAACCTCAGCTATGTGAGGACAGTGAAGGCTATTGGTGGGTTGTTGTTTATTGTTGTTGTTTGTTTGTTTATTGTTGTTTGTTAAGGTATGAAAGAAACCATTAGCAGTGCTGATTTATCGAGTGTATTGCCTGAGGATGTTGAGAAGGAAGTGAGAGAAGGAGCTGAGATATCAATGGGAACTGAGATTAGTGAAGAAGACATGATCAATATATCTCACCTGTGTGATCAGGTGATACAGTAGTTGATATTAACGTGTTAATGTATGATTAGGTGATTGAGATATCAGAGTACAGGACACAATTGTATGAGTACCTAAAGAATAGAATGACAGCTATTGCTCCAAACTTGACTCTAATGGTTGGAGAATTAGTAGGAGCTAGACTTATAGCACATGCTGGTATGTACTACTAGGAAATGTATTGTCACAAATAATTTTAATAGGTTCGTTGATTAATTTGGCTAAGCATCCTTCATCAACAGTACAGATATTAGGAGCAGAGAAAGCATTATTCAGGTTTACTTCAGTATATTGTTAGTATATTATCTGTAAACTTCATGTATCACTTGCAGGGCTCTTAAGACAAAGCATGACACTCCCAAATATGGTATTATATATCATGCGTCTCTAGTTGGTCAGTCCGGCCCTAAGGACAAAGGAAAGATATCAAGAATGTTAGCAGCTAAGACGTCACTGGCAGCAAGAGTCGATGCACTTGGAGAGGAAACTGCTCCTAGCATTGGAATAGAATCAAAAGCTAAAGTACCTTCAACTTGTTAAGAATATGTATGTGTAATGTATTCTGGTGGCCTGCAGGTTGAAGCAAGACTAAGATCCTGTGAACAAATCAAACTAAGAAGAATATCTGGATCAGGAAAGAAGAAAGTTAAACAAGTGAAATTTGAACTGGGCAGCAGGTAATTGAATACTAAATAATTAAATATTATTTTTCTGTAGTACACCTTCACAGTATGAAGGTGGTTCTGATTTCACATTTGGCTCTGGTACCAAACGTCAGTATGAGGAGGGGACACCAACAGCTGCTGCTGGGGAAGAGAAAGTTGCAAAAAAATTGAAACTAGAAGAGGAAGCAGTTGATAAAGGTAGCTCACCAAAGAAAAGGAAACTTGAAAAAGAAAAGAAATTAAAGAAAAAGGCAAAAGTGTCTGAAGAACATTAATGATAGTTAATCAATTAATTAATTGAGGAACTTCACTTGTACAATAATAATGTGTTTGCCTTTTGTGAATAAAGTGTTGATAGACACAATTATTTATAAACAAATTAATTAATTCATGGAAAATGAAGTAATTATATTATTTACTGTCATTAGATATCAGTCCTAGTGACTTAAGACAAGTTAATGCAGCCTGTGCTTTAGCTAATTTCTTGTTACTAGTACCACAAGAAGGTTGATATGTGTCACCATTCACAGTTACCTACAACCAACAGTACATGATGCATACACAGTGAAATAGGCTGGTTACTTTGTATATGAATATTCTCATGTGTGGTGGTCCAGTTTCACTAACAATCTCATAAGATGGAGGATCCCACAACTTCTTAACTGACAACTCCTGCAGTGCACACACTGGATGCTTACCTACTCACATTAATGTAAGTACATGTATAATATGTAGCACAAAATAATAAAAATTGAGATTTTCTCCTTTCATATTACTTTTGGTAAAAGTTGGCCAAAATCCATGTATACCATGGGCTATAGCCTTGGGTATTTTTCAGATTTTTGGCACTTCCTTAAATGGCCATAACTTTAAAAATTGAGGTCAGAATTGCCTCAAAATTGCTACACAGTATAAAGACATCAATATGTATCAAAAAGTGTAATAAAATTTGGGCTGATTTCGAAGCCAATTTTTGGAAAAAACCATGGGCTATAGCCTTGAGTATTTTTCAAAATTTTGACGTTTTCTTAAAATGGCTGTAACTTGACAAATTGAGGTCGGAATCAGCTCAAACTTTCTACACAGCATAAGGACACCAATATGTATCAGAAAAGGTAATAAAAGTTTGGAGTGATTTTTTGGCCATTTTTGGAAAAAAGCATGGACTATAGCCTTGAGTATTTTTTAGAATTTTGACGTTTTCTTAAAATGGCCATAACTTAACAAATTGAGGTTGGAATCACCTCAAACTTGCTACACAGCATAAGGACATCAATATGTATCAGAAAATGTCATAAAAATTTGGAGTAATTTTTTCGGCCATTTTTTGGAAAAAAACTATGGACTATAGCCTTGGGTATTTTTCAGTTTTCTGGCATTTTCTTAAAATGGCCATAACTTGAAAAATTGAAGTCGGAATCAGCTCAAACTTTCTACACAGCATAAGGACATCAATATGCATCAGAAAATGTCATAAAAATTTGAAGTGATTGTTTGGCCATTTTTTGGATAAAACCATGGGCTATAGCCTTGGGTATTTTTCAGAATTTTGACGTTTTCTTAAAATGGCTGTAACTTGACAAATTGAAGTCGGAATCACCTCAAACTTTCTACACAGCATAAGGGCATCAATATGTATCAGAAAATTTAATAAAAATTTGGAGTGATTTTGGGGCCATTTTTTGAAAAAAACCATGGACTATAGCCTTGAGTATTTTTCGGGATTTTGGCATTTTTTAAAATGGCCATAACTTGACAAATTGAGTTCGGAATCAGCTCAAACTTTCTACACAGCATAAGGACACCAATATGCATCAGAAAATGTCATAAAAATTTGAAGTGATTTTTTGGCCGATTTTTGGATAAAACCATGGGCTATAGCCTTGGGTATTTTTCAGAATTTTGACGTTTTCTTAAAATGGCTGTAACTTGACAAATTGAAGTCGGAATCACCTCAAACTTTCTACACAGCATAAGGGCATTAATATGTATCAGAAAATTTAAGAAAAATTTGAAATGATTTCGGGGCCATTTTTTGAAAAAAACCATGGGCTATAGCCTTGGGTATTTTTCAGAATTTTGACGTTTTCTTAAAATGGCCGTAACTTGAAAAATTGAAGTCGGAATTGCCTCAAACTTGCTACACAGCATAAGGACATCAATATGTATCAGAAAATGTAATAAAAATTTGGGGTGATTTTGGGCCATTTTTTGGAAAAAACCATAGCCTTGGGTATTTTTCAGAATTTTGGCACTTTCTTAAAATGGCCGTAACTTGAAAATTTGACATTGGAATCACCTCAAACTTTCCAGACAGCATAAAGACATCAATATGCATCAGAAAATGTAATAAAATTAAAGAATTGTCTCCTTTTCAATTTGATGAAATTTGGCTGAAATCCCTGTACATAATACAGGGACTTTTGTCTGATTTTAGAGAAACTTTAAAGATTAGTCAAAAACCAGAAAAGTATGATATACTGCCATTATTAATATTACCTTGTAGACACGATGGTGTACTGTCAGTAGATGGAACTGATGTGGTTAATGTATTGACTTTCTTATCCTCTTCTGTCGACAAACCTATTGTATAATTGATTAATCAATTAATGATATTAATTAATAATGTGTACCTTGTCTGTCTGTTTTCACGTCAACAGGAATTGGCTCAATATATCCCTCTTTCCCTTTACCTAACGGCTGGCCCTCTCTCCATCCCATTCTCTTTAACATTTTCATTCCAAATCCTTCTCGTACTGGTCTCAAACCATAAAACATTTTCTGAAATAAAATAATTAATAATACAATAACTATAAAAGTCAATCTATTAATAGTAACAGTCAATCTATTAATAGTAACAGTCAATCTATTAATAGTAACCGTCATACCTTTTTGGCCCAGGCCTGTAGTCCCATTTTGTGAGTTCCCTTGTCCATTGGTGTTACCATAGTAACACCTGTGTACCTACCTGGTACTATATTACCTTGACACCACTTACTCATCTGATAAACAACAAACAATAAACAAGAAACAACAAACAATAAACAACAAACAATAAACAAATCCCATTACTTTAGTATCCAATTCTTTAAGTATGGCAGCTGCTGCAATGTCTGATGGATTAATTAATAGTCTTTGTTGAATTAACGCTCTCTCAGAAATAATATCAGATACAGACATGCTCTATTAATTAATAATTAATAACATTTATTAATAGTTAATATTATCTCACAGTGCTATTATTAGCAGCAGGTATTTCTTCTTCAGTGTCATTAGTTTGATGGTCTATACCAGCAGATACAGGAAACCTCATTTCGACAGGTCGTGTGTCAATACCAGCATTGAAATCAACCAATACTTGAGTAGCTGACACCACTGATGTCTTGTTATCATTATCTCTGCTAGTCTCTTCTTTCAATTCAAATGGATGATACTGCTACATTGTGTGTGTGTGTGTCATCAACAAATTAACAGATTACAAATGCATCATACATGTACTGTATTGTGTGTGCTAATCATTATCCTACCTCAACAGTTTTAGTGTCTTTTCTATCATGAGACAAGTCACGACAGAAAGCAGTGAATTCAGCAATGACATCAGCTTTTGTTTTAATGACAGGTATTGGATAAGAGGCATATGGATTAGTAGTATCTTTATCATGATCTGATGGACTTGAATCACTGAAATGACCACTCCTCCATTTGTCCCTGGATCTACTTCTTCTACCACCTCTTGAGTAACCCTTTGACCTTGATCTAGTCCTTGATCTTGATCTCCTTGATCTAGTCCTTGATCTATTCCTTGACCTTGATCTTCTTGATCTTTTCCTTGACCTTGATCTTGATTTCCTTGATCTATTCCTTGATCTTGATCTCCTTTCTCTTGATTTCTGTCTCCTCCTTGATCTCGATCTATTCCTTGATCTTGATCTGCTCCTTGATCTTAATCTATTCCTTGATCTTGATCTATTCCTTGATCTATTCCTTGATCTTGATCTGTTCCTTTCTCTTGATCCTTTTCTCTTCTTTCTTTCTCTTGATTTATGTCTTCTCTTCTTAGACTCTGAGCTACTCTTCATTCTTCCTCCTTCTCCTAGTTCATCAGTATTTCCCTCCAGTTCTAAACCGGTCCTTAAAGTTCCTTCATCATTATCAACACACTCAGTACTATCATTACTGGGTCTTCCTCCACTGGTACGTTCATCAATATTAGTAATTGAATGGTCAATTTGTCCAGTAGCAGCGTCAGTGCTGTTATCAGTATCATCTGAAGGTGCTCTCAGTGCTAATGACTCACTGGACATTAGTGCCTTGTGAAGGAGTGTCTCCTCATCCATACTGCTCGCAATGCTGGTCTCTCTCTTTTTATCTCTCTTGTGTCTGTGGCTTGACTTGTGATGATGTTTCTTATGTTTATGTTTGTGAGTCTTGTGCTTCTTGTTGTGTCGTGAGGAACCCATTGCACTCTATCTGGAAATAAAGAAAACTATTAATGAATAATGATTCTTATCCTCGTTCTTATCATACTCAGTTACTCACACCTGGTCAGGCTGGTCTATATGTTAAAGGGTTAAAATTAACTTGCAGTTGCATAGACCACACCTACAACTGACACACCCTGCAGTTACCATGGATACCAACAGAGAGGCAGTTTAGCTCCATCTTCCCTGCAGTCGGTTCAGGCAGCCATTGCAAGCTATGAGCAGTTACAAGAGGTATGCTAACCATTGTGCACTGATCTTCATAATTATCCTACATTACTGCAGGAGACCTTCTCCACGGCCTTTAGTACCAAGATCATCATCTCCTATCAGTACAAAGATACAAACTGCTAAACTGAGCAGTAGGGAAGGGACTACTGGCCTTTCCTGCCTTGAAGCATCACTAGTAACAAGAAGAGGCTCTCCTGTGGTACTAGAAATACTATTCTCCTCCCCCATCACTGCAGGATACACTGTCACCCTCTCATTTATTCCTGTCCATGGCCCGAGGGAGAGGTCCTGCACTTTTAGAGCCTCAGGCCAGGACGGGAAAGGACTGCCTGGTATTTGGCTGAGTATAGAGCTACCGGCAAGATTCCCCGTTGGAATGTATGATGCACACATATCAGTGACACAAGAAAATACTCCTGAAATATTAACACATACGCTTCACAATGAAGTAGTGGTGCTATTCAATCCGTTTTTGGAAGGTACGTGCATACGAGACATAATGGAGGATTTATTATTGACACCTTGTAGAGGATGAGGTTTATATTGAAGAAAATGTAGAAGAGTATGTACTGTCTGATACTGGAGTCATCTGGCGTGGAACAAGAACTAAACCAGAACCATTACTGTGGGAATATGGACAGGTATATTGTTGTATGCACATCCATTCACTGTCAGTGTCTGGTACAGTATGAGCCACACTGCTTGGAGGTAGCACTCCTGTTGCTGAGGAAATTGAAAGTTGATAAAAGAAGAAGTGCATTTCATGTTGCAAGAGCAATCATATCACAGATATTACCTCCTGACAGTCCTGGTATGAATTCAATACTGAATATATTGATGACTTGTTTATTAGAATCAGGGATACTGGCAGTGTCTTACAATGGTAAATATGGAGGAGGAACACATCCCAGCAAATGGACCAGCTCTGTTCCTATATTGCAGAAATACTACCGAACAAGATCACCAATAAAGTACAGTTATGTTGCATTACAATAAACTGACTATACTTTATTCAATTGTAGGTATGGACAGTGTTGGACTACTGCAGGAATAGCTGTTACCTTATTAAGAATATTAGGAATACCCTGTCGTCCTGTCACATGCTATGACCCTGCAATGAGTACCAAACAGTTAGGACGAGTTAACAAGTACTTCACACCTGAAGGAAACCTTATTGATAGCATAAAACCTAGTGATGACCGAATATGGTAAATAATGAACATTTATTGCATGCTTTACTGTACACCATGCTAGGGCATATCATGTTTGGGTTGAATGTTGGATGAAAAGAGAAGAAGTATCAACTATTGGGTGGAATTTGATTGATTGTTCAACTAGCAATGGGCCAGTTAGTGGCATTGGACCAATACCAGTCAAAGTACTACACGATTCAAGCAACAAGACCTACTCAAATAATGACATTAGCAGAATATCATCAATGATTCACTCTGAGGTAAGACTACATGGCTTGAGGTATAATTATCAACTATTGTACAGGTAAGATATCAAAGAGTAGTTCGATCCCATGCTACAATGAGTAATCAGATCTGTACACTAGCACAAATACAAACAACTCAAACTGGTACTAGAATAGTAACCAGTAGTATCAGTGACAGAATGGAATGGACTGACATTACAACAGAATATCGTGAACCAAACAGACAGGCAGTAGTATCACCAACTCTTCAGAGCCCAATGCCACAATCCAGCGATTGCAGCATGACTGTACACTGCTCTCATGTACCTGTAGGTCAAGACTTAAAAATAACAATAATGTTACAAAGTAACAGTCCAATGCTCCGCACTATTGATGGTAGAGTGCTGGGAGCAGCTACTCATTATACTGGACACAATAGGAAGACCTTTGTATCCTTACAATTTGAAGGATCAATAGCTCCACACAACAGTAAGCTGCACAGTATAGACTATAAAGTTTATCTATTTCATTGTTTAGCTGGTGAAATTGTACTAACTGTTACTAGTAGACAATATTTGCGTCATTTAAAAGATCAGAATTTTCTTCATTTTTTTGTAATTGCAAAGGCTCGTGAAACTCAACAATTGTTTTTTGATTCCCAATACTACAAACTAGACCCACTACCACTGACAGTAAGAGGACCAGGAACAGTAAAAGTTGGAGAGTTAGTTAGATACTCAATCTCCTTTCACAATCCACTTTCATCATCACTGTCTCATATCTCATTCATACTCCAAGCTAAAGGACTCTGTACTCAGAAAGAAGTGGCCTACAGGTAAGGAACACTGTCATACATTTACGTAATGGCTATTCCAAGGGGAAAACACAGCAATCAAAATTGAATTTTAATTACATGCACACAAGGCTGCATGCTTTTTAAAGTCCCTGACTATAATGTACAGTCTCGTTATTAGTATTAGTAACGCAGTAGCGTTACTAAGTAGGATTCACCCCACTTCAATATGGCTGCCACAACTTTTTCAGCCTTTTATACGTGTATTTGTTAAAAATAGGAGGTTATTGCTACCAGAAAGAAGTGCTGCAGCTGACATTACAGTACAAGGATCAGTTCCTGGTACATACACTGTACTGGCCAGCATGTGCTGTGACCAACTGACCGATATCCACACTTCAACTACACTCATTGTAACAACTTGAATTATTATTATACTTTTCACAACGGCTAATGTTTATTATACTTAAATTTTATTATTATTTTGAAGCTAAACTCTAAGCATTAAATTGAATGAACTAAAATAAAAGATAATTAAAGTGATTGGTTTGCCGTCAATAATGGTTGTCATGGAGACAGTGTTTGTCCATATTCAGTGATGACATTTGAATCATAAGCCACAAGGGATAGAATGGAACCTACTCCATCATAAAACACGCCCCCAGTTAGCAATGTATTCTCCACCAGACAATTGTATACCAAAGAAATCTAACAAAATAACAAAATTAATGGTTATAATAATAATAAATAGAAATAATAATAATAATAATAATAATAATAATAATAATGGTTATAATGCATGTACTTTTGGTTGTTTACTGTTTCCTGAAAGTTTCCAAACTGAGAAAGTTGAATCCTCAGAATAACTTAATATCTAAAAATAGATACAAAAATACTAAAAATAGAGACAGCAGTAAGTAAAGGAGAGTCTGACCAGTCCAGTTTTGGGTGCAATATCAATTCCATTGATCCATTTTGAGTGAGCATTAACATCAATCAACCTTTGACCTCGATCAGGACTGTATATACTGACCTGTCCATTAGCAAAACCAGCTGCAACAAGATCCCTCCACCAACTAATGCTGGTACAGCAACCACGGCTGATAATAATGATAATAATAATAAATACTATTATCAGCCACAAGTACCTTTCTCCATTAAAAGTTGCTATTCTCTCTTGCGTCTTAAGTCTACATGTGTCCTTCCATATCACAATGTCTCCATTCTCGTTGCCAGTAGCAACTCGTCCATCATCACACGTACCAATACATGAAACAGGAGGTTCCCCTTCCTCTCCTAGTTGCTGTCTAAACTCCACCCCCTCGTTAAGAGTGACTGTGAATACTAATATATATCCCTCAGAAGTACCAACAAATATATTATTAGAATAACAGGAAATACCCCGGGCACAAGATGATACTGGAGAAACAACAACAATAATAATAATAATAATAATAATGATAAACAATAATATCACACCTCCTAAAGTATCTTTATGCGTTAATCTGTACTGAAATAATCGTGATGTAGCGTCAAAATTTAACACCTTCAGAATAAGTAAAATGACAATAAAGTATTATATTATTATGAACAATAACTTACAACAAAACCAGCAAAGGAAGTGACAACAAGGACAGGATCAACTCCTTCAAGGAGACACCATTTCATCTAATCACATCATTAGAATAAACGAGAGAGAGAGAGGGGGGGGTCACTTACTCCAGTGATGAAGGTTAAACTGTCTATTTCATCAGATCTCACAAAAGGCTCAACTATTGACTGCTTGCAGGAGCCATCCTGTCCCCAACGTACAATAACTAACTCGCTCCTGTGAGCCACTGCATATCCAACAGGCTCTCTATTGGTGTCCCTCTGTATCGCTATGTTGTTAGGAAGGAGAGAGGCTGATCTCTTCAATCCCTCAATCCTTTTAGGGAGCAAAGAATAGCTCAAGGAACGAGCTGCCATTGAGTCGTATATCTGTCGTATAATTATCTCAGGATATTATTAACATCTTTAAAATTTGTATACTTTCCGTGCATGTAGTATATTAATTAAAGTGGGTGTGGTTACATAAAGTTGTTCATTGATGATTTGGTTCTTTGCACTGAGTGAATGTGTCTGTGGATCCTGTCCTCGACACTTTTTGATGATGTAATAGATTGCACACGTAACTTCCTAGAAATACATTGGTGGATGATGATAGAAATCATAATAATTATTACTTTAAAAATTGATCGTCTTTTCCATAGAGTTGCTCTTCATTCTTAACTTCAGCCTATCAATTCGTTCAATATTTATTTATTCATTATTAATCCAACCTCGTGTTTCCGTAATCTGCTCTCTCTCTCTTTATCTCTGCTCCTAACAAAAAATACGATTAATAATTATTAATAATTAATAAAAATTAATAGATAAAGATTGTTTTACTTTGCAAATGACATCATTTCTTTTCTCCTCCGTTCAAGTTCCTTTGGGTCCATTTTTCTTGAAACTGACGTGGCTCCGCCCTTCCTCTCACCTCCAGACCCCCTCACTAAATATTTACTGTGTCCTGGCCCCCTTGATCTGATTGGTGATCGTTCCCGACCCCTTGACACAGGAACTGGATCGCCCTTTTTCTTACTAATAAAGTATTAATTAATAATTATTATTTTATTACTATTACGTGTCATCATCAGATTCACTGTCGCTGTCATGGTAACGAGATTTGTGTTTTCTGGAGGATTTTCGCTTCTTTTTGTCGGTTTCTTTAGTTAATAACTATTAATAACTACTAATAAATATTAATAACTAGTTGTTCGTACCTCCTGAAGTTGCTTCATCTTGACCGGATTATTGAGTAACCTTTTCTTGGCTTCTTCCTCTTTCTTCCTATACAGAGGGGCATTAAATAGAGTACATTATTGGGTCATACTTCATTAGGAACAATGGATCTTCCCTAATCTTCATCTCAAGGTCGGTTGCAGAATTCACTTCACCACCAGCAAATAATGCACCTGGACCACTGGCAAGAGCCTAAACCACACCCAAAAACAATGACCAGACCCGCCAACACACCCCAGCACCTCTTTCTCTCTCTCTTCCTCAATCAGTGTTGGATCAACAGCTTTGTCAATCTTCTTTCCTAATAAATATTCTTCTTTATTAGTCGCCATTGGGCCACGGTACAGCCAGTCTACCCTCTCACCACTGGCCCTATTCATGGTATAATCAGAAGTATAATAGCAGGACTATAGTCTCCTCTCATTACTTTGAGAGTCCGGTATCAACAGCATATTGCTTCATTTCTTCTCTGTTTCTCTCTTCTTTTATTTCTTGTTGGAGTTCAGCTATCCTCTTTTGCTCTGCCTCATGTTTCTGTTCTGCTTTCCAAACTCTCTCAAGATTTTGCATCGTCAAAGGATGCCAACTCTTCTTCATGTTCTGCCAAGCAATGAGAATGATAATAGGAACAACATTAATGGTTCATCAGAGGATAATGAGCTAAGAGTGGCATACACTGATATAAAGAACTGCTTACCAGGTCTCCCCCACCCATCTTGTTCTCTTTCTCTAAAAACTAAAAGAGAAATAACAACAAAGACAGCAATTCTTGTTCAGTCTCTTTCAAACACAAACTCCACCCCCAATAAACTTAGCCCCACCCTCTAGTGACTTAGCCCCACCCACACCACATGCTTCTATCAGCAGTTTAGTTTCTCCATTGGTCCTCAGTGAAGCACCTGCAGAGAGGAATTAACATTGAATAATAATGGTATGACAACGTGTTGTTGTTTTTCTTTATTGTTTGTTTGTTAGTCTGAAGGTGTGAATCCTAAAGCTTATCCATTGTCAGATCCCGAACTGACTGTAAAGATACTTGACCTCCTCCAACAGGCAACCAATTACAAGCAGATTAAGAAAGGAGCCAATGAAGGTACTATATACAATGACTGTTAGTTAGTATTATTATTATATTTACAGCTACAAAGGCCCTCAATAGAGGTATAGCTGAGTTTATTGTAATGGCAGCAGACACTGAGCCACTGGAGATATTACTACACCTTCCATTGCTATGTGAAGACAAGGTTAGTCAGCACATTATTATTACATTATTGAGGTATTTTTAGAATGTCCCGTATGTGTTTGTCCCTTCCAAGGCTACTTTGGGCAGAGCCTGTGGTGTGTCCAGGCCAGTAATAGCTTGTGCTGTTACTGTCAATGAAGGATCCCAACTGAAACCACAGATACTGAGCTTACAGCAATCAATGGAGAAACTGCTAATATGAAGAACAATAACACAACAATGTTAATTGTAAATAAAATCAATAACTGTCAACAATAAGTCTTGTTTATTATTATTTTATTGATCTGTTGAATAGTTGATCTTTAATTAATTGTCCCATCAAACCTTGAACAACTTCACCGGTCAATTTTGAACTGACAAAAGAATAATGCTCATACAATATTCCCATAGTAACGTCATACCAATCTTGAGATGCTTTAGTCAGTTTCTCTCCTTTATCGAAAGGTTTACCAAAACTACCTCCTCCATGTCCCTGGGGAACGAGCAGCTGCTAATAATTCATCAATTAACTAGTTGTACCTGATGCTCTGCTCTTTCTAACTTCTGATTCAAGTCACTAATTTGTTGAGTTGTGTAAGAAGCATTCTACAACACATAAGTACATAAGTATCAGAAGATGTAATAAAAGTGAGGAATTCTCTCTGTCTAAATCATGTTTAAATTTGGCCAAATTCCATGTACAATGTACTACAGTACATTGTTTGGTCTGATTTTGGAGAAACTTTAAAAATTCATAAAATGTCCAAACTTTTTGCACAACAAAAAATGCAATAAAAATTTGGAGTGATTTTTTGGCCATTTTTTGGAAAAAATCATGGACTATAGCCTTGGGTATTTTTCAGAATTTTGCCATCTTCTTAAAATGGCCGTAACTTGAAAAATTGAAGTCAGAATCAGCTCAAACTTTCTGCACAGCATAAGGACATCAATATGTATCAAAAAATGTAATAAAAATGTAGGGTGACTTTGGAGCCATTTTTTGGAAAAAACCATGGACTATAGCCTTGGGTAATTTTCAAATTTTGCCGTTTTCTTAAAATGGCTGTAACTTGAAAAATTAAGATCGAAATCACCTCAAACTTTCTACAAAGCATAAGGACATCAATATGTACCAGAAAATGTAATAAAAATTTGGAGTGATTTTTTGGCCATTTTTTGGAAAAAACCATGGACTATAGCCTTGGGTAATTTTCAAATTTTTGGCATTTTCTTAAAATGGCCGTAACTTGAAAAATCGAAGTCAGAATCAGCTCAAACTTTCTGCACAGCATAAGGACATCAATATGTATCAAAAAATGTAATAAAAATGTAGGGTGACTTTGGAGCCATTTTTTTGAAAAAACCATGGACTATAGCCTTGGGTATTTTTCAGATTTTGGGCATTTTCTTAAAACGGCAATAACTTGAAAAATCGAAGTCGGAATCACCTCAAACTTTTTACACAGCATAAGGACATCAATCTGTATCAGAAAATGGAATAAAAATGTGGAGTGATTTTTTGGCCATTTTTTGGGGAAAACCATGGACTATATAGCCTTGGGTATTTTTCAGAATTTTGCCATCTTCTTAAAATGGCCGTAACTTGAAAAATTGAAGTCAGAATCAGCTCAAACTTTCTGCACAGCATAAGGACATCAATATGTATCAGAAAATGTAATAAAAATTTGGAGTGATTTTTTTGGCCATTTTTTGGAAAAAACCATGGACTATAGCCTTGGGTAATTTTCAAATTTTTGGCATTTTCTTAAAATGGCCGTAACTTGAAAAATCGAAGTCAGAATCAGCTCAAACTTTCTGCACAGCATAAGGACATCAATATGTATCAAAAAATGTAATAAAAATGTAGGGTGATTTTGGAGCCATTTTTTGGAAAAAACCATGGACTATAGCCTTGGGTAATTTTCAAATTTTGCCGTTTTCTTAAAATGGCTGTAACTTGAAAAATTAAGATCGAAATCACCTCAAACTTTCTACAAAGCATAAGGACATCAATATGTACCAGAAAATGTAATAAAAATTTGGAGTGATTTTTTGGCCATTTTTTGGAAAAAACCATGGACTATAGCCTTGGGTAATTTTCAAATTTTTGGCATTTTCTTAAAATGGCCGTAACTTAAAAAATCGAAGTCGGAATCACCTCAAACTTTCTACACAGCATAAGGACATCAATATGTATCAAAAAATGTAATAAAAATGTAGGGTGACTTTGGAGCCATTTTTTTGAAAAAACCATGGACTATAGCCTTGGGTATTTTTCAGATTTTTGCCGTTATCTTAAAATGGCCTTAACTTGAAAAATCGAAGTTGGAATCACCTCAAACTTTCTACAAAGCATAAGGACATCAATATGTATCAAAAATGCAATAAAATTGAGAAATTCTTTCCTTTTCAATTTTAGCAAAATTTGACCCAAGACAATCTACAGCGGCTTTTTCCAATTTTGGAGCAACTTTAAAGATTTGCAAAATCCAATTTAAATCTTAAAATTTTGACACAACATGTACATGTACATACGATGGAGAAGGTTGCTATGGTAACTGACTGTTAAAAGTGAACAAGATGAGAGAGTGTTGACCCAGTATGTGTTCCACAGCAGATCAAGCAAATGAGAATCCAAACTTGATTTGAAATAGGAGACGTTTAAACTGTAATACCTACTGGTGAATGAAAGACAGGGAGAGAGAGAAATGGTGACTCATACTGTTTGCAGTGTACACCAAAATCTTCAATTTTCTCCAGAGGAATGGTTTGATATTCGCTAGGGCCTTCATCAGCTAATTTATGACCCTATTAATTAATTATTTATTAATTATTAATCATTAAATATGTACTTTTGGATAAGTTCTAAAAGCTCCTAAATTCACTTTACCAGAAGACATTGTCCTGATAGGATCAACCTGCAGGACATTATAATTATTAATTAATGTAGCCACACCCACCACAATAGCAACCCATGGCTCCTGAAACTTCTGATTAAGCATTTGAGTATCAACGTCAATACCTGAGAGCCAACACCCATACCCTGGGTGACTGTGGTACCATCCTAACGCATTCTCAGGCCGACCTACCTAATAATGATAATAATAGGCTAATTCTATACTTAGTAACGTGAACTGTTACTATAAATAGACAGTTACTAATAATAGGATACCTTTTTAGCTGATTCTATATACAGTGACATGTATTCATATGCTCCTGCTTGGGCGTTCACTCTGGTCTCAGTTCCCTCCACTGGTAGAGCAAAGGAATCCATCACTATCATTGTGGGGCCATCAATTTTACCCAACATAAGACCCATAATCTCTAAACGCCCCCCACTACGAGCATGCATTACCATCTTTAACAAAGCAAGAGCTGATATCTTAATATCTTTGAAATAGTGAACACTAATGGAATTATCGTTATTGTTATAAACTATTATTATTATTATTACTCTTTCTCCCATGGTTTCTTGGACAGTATCTCTTGCTGTTCCTCATAGCTAAACTTATAAATGGAGTCCACACTTGGTACAGTTTGTATTGAATTAACAGCTTCAAATTCTCTTCTAGCTGCTTCAGAAGAACTAGAGGCCATCTTGTTATAGGTGTGGTATATGTGGGTGTGGTTTGTCTATGGGTGTGGCTTGTTGCTAAGATATGCGCAGTTCTTTTCATCCTCCGTCAAGGTCTCATGTTCTCGTTGCTAAAGGTTTAGGGGCCACAATGTGGTGCTGGATATTTTGGAGATTTAAACACGACTGGGGAGATGTATTTGTAAGTTAAAATATAAAAATGACAACTTATCTTGTTAATATTGTTTAATGCACTGCTGTAGGGCCATCATGATTCAATAGAGCCACCACCTCTTGATAAATAGAAGAAGAACTGACTTTAGACCATTACTAGCTTATTATTGTCATTAATTATTAGTGAATTATTGTATTTAAAATCAATTATAAAAGTGTTTTGAAGTGGAAGCCATTTTGTGGGTGTGGTTAACAACCTTATATTGTAGGTGTGGTTTATTTGGTACCTTGGTAACGCGATAACTGTAAAAAGATGAAGTCAGAAATGATCCTTTTGACAATTGCAATGATTTTATTTAATATCGATAGTTGTTATTGTGCTGGTAAGATGATATTATTGATAAATTAAATCTACAATATGCAGGAACAATGCTTTCTGATGCGGATTGTAATGTTCACATCAGAGCAACTAGTGTCACCCCATCAGTATACTCACTGCACTGGGTAGCACATCAATTATCAAGTTTTTGCAAGACATTTTATAAAATGAAGGTAGACATTACAATATTCATTAGGATTCATTAACATTACTATAATAAAGGTTACTTGTCAAAGTATGAACTCGTGCAAGAAATTGGTTCCCAGGAATGAGACCTTAGTTCATTATTATCCAGTAATAGGGGAGACTGGACTATTGACTGGACTCCACCCAAACACACTGTACAATTGCTCTGCACAACTTCAAACAGGTAGCCGTAAACACGAACCATCTCAGAGCTTTACTGTACAAACTGGAATAGGAGGTTAGCCTGGCTAGATCATTATTATTGATTGATACTGTTGCTTATTACAGCACCAGAGCGTCCCCTCAAACCCAATATCCGTAAAAAAGATGATAATGCTCTTATAATAAAAGTATACAATAGTTCCACCTGCAATGGACCAATAAGGTTTGAACTCATGTAGTGATATTGTCATTATCATTCTGTTGTAACCTACTGACATTTAGTGGGTATGAGCTACAGTTTCATGTAGCAGACACAATATCACTTGATAAAGACAACCTTCCATTAATACCTGAAGACCAGCTCAAACCGCTTAGTGGCAATCTAGCATCTCTTGAAGAAGCAAAAAATAATAAAAAGGCCTCATCATTTTATATAAGAGAAAGAGTAATTCATGACATTACCATTAATACAAGGTCACTCATGAGTGGAGCTTTAAAAGTCAACAGTACTTATGTCGTAATCACTAGTGTCTACACTCGTGTACAGGTAATGCCTTATAAATTGTCATGTATTCATATATTCATCGTAATTCATGTATAGGATCAAGAGTTATTGTATTCATACAGTTTACCTTCAGACCCAATTACATTTAAAACTGATGAACGTAAGTATTATCAACTGTCACTCCTGTCTATTAATAGTATCATTTTATTAATAGCAACATTTTATTAACAGTAGCAATTACTATTGTTCTATTTACTGTATAGTACCAACAAAAGAGAGTGATACAAATGATGATGAGTCATTCAGTGAAAGATATGGACAAAGGCTCCTTTATGTAATAGCAGGTGCTTCACCTTTTGGTGTGATACTGTGTATGTTTGCGTTAATCTGTTTAATATGGAGGATCAGATCAAACAGACTCAAAAATAAAAGGAATAAAATGTACATGTATGAGCCACTAAAGTAAGATTATAATTAAAAAAATAAACTATAATTAACAATGATTAATAGGTTGTCTGCTATTAGTGAGAGGAATATTCACAATCATCAATCAGCAACATGTTATACAATACCAGGATCACCTGATCTGGTCTCACCTTATTTCTCCCACTCACCTTATCCGCCCACACACATTGAACCACCTCGATCACCACGTCCACCCTCACAGAGGCGAACACCATTACACAACCTACTGTACTACCAATATAACAATGATGATGATGATAATGAATTAATTGGCATCTCAATCTCTCCAAGACCTCAATTTGTTCCTCCTTTAGAACTAACACCACCAATAGACCATTCATTGACCAGTGTACAACCAACAGACCATTCATTGACCAGTGTACAACCAATAGACCATTCATTGACCAGTGTATCACCACTAAACCACTCATTGGCCAGTGTACAACCCATAGACCATTCATTGACCGGTACATTATTAGTAAATCATTCATTGACCAGTGTGCTACCAGTAGATCATTCTTTGACCAGTGTATCATCAGTAGATCATTCGTTGACCAGTGTATCATCAGTAGATCATTCGTTGACCAGTGTATTACCAGTAAACCATTCTTTTACCAGTGTACTACCAGTAAATCATTTGGTGACTAGTGTATCATCAGATCATTCATTGACTACTGTATTACCAGTAGACCATTCATTGACCAGTGTACCACAAATAAACCATTTCTTGACCAGTGTACCACCAGTAGATCATTCGTTGACCACTGTATCATCAGTAGATCATTTGTTGACCAGTGTAATACCAATAGACAATTCATTGGCCAGTGTACCACAAATGAACCATTCGTTGACCAGTGTACCACCAGTAGATCATTCGTTGACCAGTGTATCATCAGTAGATCATTTGTTGACCAGTGCATTACCAGTAGACCATTCATTGACCAATGTACCACAAATGAACCATTCGTTGACCGGTGTATCATCAGTAGACCATTCCTTGACCAGTGTATTACCAGTAGACCATTCATTGACCAGTGTATCACCACTGGGACCAATGTCACCAACCATTCAACCATTATTACAATCACCAATGTCACCCACAACTCCACCTGCTGGAGCAGCTAATAAGCCACACCAACCACCACACATAGCAGTTCATAGGGCATGCCCACCATTAATAAAGTCGTATTCTTCTCCAGTAATAGTACCCAATACACAGTCTCCTCCCATTACTCAACCTCCTTCATTAATGACTCCACCTCCTTTAGTAACAGCCCCATCTACCTTATTAACAACTCCGCCCACCTTATTAACAACCCCATCCACCTTGTTAACAACTCCACCTACCCTATTAACAACCTCGTCCGCCTTGTTAACAACTCCAGCATTATTTTCATCATTATCTCCTGGGGACAGTGGCCTAATAGACCAAGCCCCTGACCTTGAGATGCAATTCAGTGAGTTGAATCTTTATCCATGCTCTCGTAATATCTCACCTTTACAAATACCTGACTCCGCCCACTTGCCCAACCTACAAGACGATAGTTCTGTTAGTTCATCTTCTAGTTATTACTTGGCTCCTGAAATACCTCATGAATATTCATCAGCTTATGTCACTGCTAATACTTCTCCAGCTGAATCTTTCTTCCTAGCACCTCAAGAACCTTTTAAAAAACCTGAGAATCCTCAAGAGAATACTGAGGAAGTGGGCGTGGTTCATTCTCCAATGACAGATACGCTTCCTTCAGCAATGAATGTACTTGAGTTTTTGACACCTCCAATGTCGCCATGGCAACCAAAAAACACTCTACAACTTTTAGTGTCTGATGAATACTATCAATCTTGCAATGGATTTGAGAATAAGGAAAGATGCATCAATGATGAAGTTATAGAATGTAGCAATGATGCTGAAAGGAAAGGATTCTATTCAATTTATAATATGGAAAGTGACTACAGTCTGGACTGCAGTGGTGCCAATATCAGTGAAGCTCCAGTCATTAATGGAGATAACATTATTAATGGAGATTGTGATGAAGAAGAAGGAAACGAGTCAAAGAGGAATGGCTCCTTTATAATTAACGTGAAAGCACTAGAAAGATTAATTAATGTAGAGAGAAGCAGCTCATCATCTTTAGAAACAATTAATTAATACAACAACAATAATAATAATCTTTAAAATGGAATAAAATAACAGACAATAATTATAGTTCATGTATCACAGCAATAATAATAATAATAATAATAATAATAATAAACACAGCACTAATGTGATGTATAGCAGAGGAAATAAAGAACATGACAAAAATAGCATGACTCTCAATAACTATTAATAACTATCAATGTACTCACTGGGTTAATTTATAAAGGGAGGGGCCTTTCGTCATCATCATCTACAACAAAAAACAACAATAAACAACAACAATAAACAATAAGAACAAACCAGTAGGACTCTCAGCTCCATTCCTATACTGGACGTGTCCTTCATCAGCTGGAACTCTACTGTAAACACCAGAACTAGGTTTGGGACGAATTATATATTTACTAAAAATAAATTAAAAAATAATAGTAAAACTTCATTTCAATTAGAATGAGCTAAAACTTCCTATGCAACATAAGTACATGTATATGTATCAGAAAATGTAATAAAAATGAGGAATTCTCTCCTTTTCATTTTTGACAAAATTTGGCCTACTATAGTACAGGGACTTTGTCCAATATTGGAGTAACTTTTTAAAATCGTAAAAAAATCACTTTTGATCGGAACAAGCTCAAGCTTTCTGCCAAAATAAGTACTATCAAAAAATGCACTAATAACTAACTCACACAACAAGTATTATCATAACAATAAACATTGTTAGTATAATAAATAGTGCCACTAGTAGCAATACTCCCATCAGCACTGCAATATTGTCACCTTCCTTATCAGTAACAACACCAGCTGTACCTGACGTGGTAACATCTAATAACAATAAGACATGTAATTAATTAATTAATAGTTAATTAACTTACTGACTCCACCCACACAACAAGACTTCTCTACAGCAGCATACTGACCCTCTATACCTCCAGTACACACATCACCACCAATCTTACGATATCTATTAATAATTAACAATGATTAATTAATTAATTACAGGGTCTTACCCTTGTGATTGATAATACACAGATACTCCACTGGTAGCACAAGGATCAGGTAAACTGATTGACTCATCTCTTATACAGGAGCCAGTAATACCATTGGCATGTTCATACCCATAATCACTAGATAAGAATAATAGGAGCATTATCATTATACTAATGTGGACTCACCACTCAAAGTCCTCTTCAATGCAGGAGCATATACTGTATATAACATTATGGGAGTATTCCTTCCCTGAGCGACAACAAGTGAACGGATTACGTCTTTCTATCTGAACACTAGCACCCAATAAACAACCGGTATCTGACTTCTAAACAACAATAAACAACAACAATAAACAACAACAATAAACTAACTAACAGCGTCATAAGGAGTCCACATGTAGTAGTCATTGGCAGTGCAGGATCTTGTAAATGAGTTGGTGAAATTAACTCGAATCACAACCCAACCAGAACTAGCTGACTGCCAGCCATACAGACTAGAGAAAGGATGGAATGAATGTCACATGATAGTCCCATGATTATAAACACATTAATGAACAATACAAACAAACTCCTTATAAGGACACACCTTACAACAGCGGTTCCCTGGCCAGGCTCAGTGATGACTCCAAACACAACAGTATTGGTTTGAGAGAATTGGAAGTAACTCCATGACCTTCCTTCATTACAAGAATAAGCCAACCGCCTTGAAGGGGTCTGCTGAAACTGATGATAGTCCTGAGCTGCTATAATGAGTCCGCCATAATCCAACACACTGACACCCCAGGAAGACTTTAATGTCTGAATAACAATGAATATCATTAAGAACCATTAATCAATTAATTACCATATTCCAGGACACACCCCCATCTCGTGATATGAATAAATTTACATTTGAATCATTTAACTTAGCACCTGTAACACCTGCAAATGAACAACAATAAACAACAACAAACAACAACAAACAACAACAAACAACAACACCTACCATGAGCTATAATAATCCCAGGTGCTGAAGCAGTGGAGTAGACCCCAGTCCTCCAGTACTGACTTGATGACATGTGCAAATGTAAGGAACACGACGGCTATTTATATTAATAAAAATATTAAATAAATTAATTAGTGGGTGTGGTTTATTACCAGAATACATTCTAATCTGTTCCCAGTTGTGTCTGCAGTTGGTGGGCGGAGCATTTCCCAGTTTCCTCCAGCGTCAAAAGAGATGAGAGTCCTAACGGCAGAATTAGGAATGTTCTGATTGCATATGTAAGTGGTGCCGTTCATGGAATCAACCTAAAATAATGGAGGAATAATTATCAAGGTGGCAACAGCTGGTAAATTGGAGGGACAAAGTGGCACAGTTGAACCATTGATGCACATTACACAATGGAACATGACTAGAAATTAAACCCAACAGCCAGTCTTAAAAAATTAAAATAATATCCCAAACTGTCCCTCCAAAATCACACAATACCTTCAATTTCAATACACCATTAATTACTTTCAGTTTCAATACATCATTAATTGCTACTCACAATTTCCAAGTCCAGTACTCCATTACCGTACACAATATCAGGGAGTGAGAGAGAATAGTATATGCCCATTTCTTCTGAGAGGTAGAGGTTAAACTGACCATTGGTGTGTTGTACTATCACAAGAGCTTGTTTGGCATCCAAACTAGCAACATAATAATTCTGATGAGGTAGCTCTGAAGGTAAATGTGCCATCTGGAAGGGTTTACGATCATAACTGACGTACAGTGTAGCTCTCTGGTTGACTGTTTTCTAATAATAATAATGTTGATAATAATAATGTGTCGATAATAATGATAACAATTGAGAAGGTACTTGTGCAAATATGTATCTGTCAATCATTAAGAAGTCGTCATGTACTCCAAAGTGAGAATCAAACTCAGTTCTTGAAGCAGGTGTATAGGGAAACTTCTGAACATAGAGATGTACCTCAGCTAAGGGGGAAAGAGGGAGAATAGTGTAAGTGCTTTCAATAAGTGTGAGGATAAACAAGACGCCATGACATGAATTAGAATAATTAAAAGAGGTCAGAACAACAGGAAGTACAGTCATGAACAACCAGATCACATTCAATACATACATCAGTACATGTACATGTATATATGCCACATGAATATCCTTACAAGTTAGATCAGTAGGACTATCAACATTATAGTATATGGTACTGGGATCAGCATCATAAGGCATGTTACCCCTAGAAATAATAATAATAATTATTATTATTATTATTTTATTTAATTACCATAAATATTCATGAGTCGAGTTCACATTTTTAGATATTTCAATGAAACTTGTTCCAAGATTTTGAGACACATACAACTAAATATAATAAATAAATGAATAAACAAACAAACAAACAAACAAACAAACAAACAAACGAGGCGTACAGTTCTTGTCGTAGGGTCGTGTGCAAGGAACCAGCTCTCCTTAGTCGGGTGGAACTTGAGAGTACGAGGATTGATAGTGGAGGGAGAGAAAGACCGTAAAGTAAAGGACTGCCCTTCGTTAGTTGATATGTACATAGCACCTTGAGATAAATGAGGAATTATTATCTAAAATAAATAAATAAATAATAATAACAATACTCAGTAGTTACTGTTCTATAGTCTTCGGGGCTAATGATGATATTTGTATACAAATGAAGTGGGCCAGTTGACTGAAGACGTGTATTGATCTTACTGAAGGTGCCACCATAATCAGTTGAACTGAAATGAAAAACACATAACAAATCAACAACAAAAACAAGAATTGACCAACATACATGTAGACATTACAGGTTGACGCAGGGTTGGATGGGTAGGTTACAATAAGAATCACCTAACAACAACAATCAGTCTAACAGGTAATATCATCATTAATATACCTTGCTGTCACTGCCTGAGTAGTGAATGAGGGCCAGTGGGTTAGTATCTTGTAGTGGTACTTCATGGCCAATGGGAAGGTCCCTCAGGTTCCTTAAAAGAACAGTCCTACTGTGCTCTGACACTCTCTCGCCCGAGACACTGAGGCCTTGGTCCTCTTTCAGCCGGTGGACCAGACCAAAGGTAGTCTGAGAGACAAGGAGACAGAAGAGGAGCAGAAGGAACACCCGAGCCAACGCCATTGATGATTTGTTTTGCAATTTGCTGCAATGGATCACGTGATCAATCGATGAGCCCAGGGCCCCACCCAAAATTAATATAAACTTGGTCTAGTTAATTAAAACAAGATGGCTTCTGGTTCTCGTGTTCTTGTCTATGGAGGAAAAGGAGCTCTTGGATCAGCTGTAGTGAGCTACTTTAAAGGAAAGAACTGGGTATGAGTGATAGTATTAATAATAAAAATAGCAATAATGTTGTTGTTAGTGGGTTGGGTCTATTGATTTGTTTGCTAATGAAGAAGCTGATGTTAATATCCTAATAACAGAGACTGAGTCATGGACCAAACAGTCAGAACAAGTAAACTTGAACTCATTGAGTGTGTGTGTGTTACATGTATGCTGGTAGGTTTGTGGTAAAGTAGGTGAAGTGTTGGGGGACAGTAAAGTAGACAGCATACTGTGTGTGGCTGGGGGCTGGGCTGGGGGTAATGCCAGCAGTCCAGGTATGATTAGTGTATGGAGCTATCGTTATTATTCATTGATAGATTTAGTTAAAAACTCTGATCTCATGTGGAAACAAAGTGTTTGGACGTCAGTAATAGCATCTTCACTGGCTGCTAATTACATGAAAGAGTTAGTATTATTAATTATTGTTTAATTGTACTTCATTACCCCAGGGGCGGGGTCATTGTATTAACTGGAGCTAAAGCTGCTTTAGAAGGAACACCAGGTTAGTAGTGTAAGCCACACCCACTGACCATACCCCCTCAGGTATGATCGGATATGGTCTAGCAAAAGCTGCCGTCCATCAATTAATTAAAAGTTTATCATCTCCTGACAATGGACTCCCATCTAATGCAATAGCACTAGGAATATTACCGTAAGCCACACCTACTTAATTAATCATTAGCCACACCCCTCTCCAGCATTACTCTAGACACTCCCATGAACAGAAAGTTCATGTCCAATGCTGACTTCAGCCAATGGACACCGTTGGATACTGTTGCTAGGTAACAAACCACACCCACATTAATTAACTATTTTTATAACAGCAAGCTATTTGATTGGTCGGAGGGTAAGGATCGTCCACCCAATGGAAGTTTAGTTCAACTAGTGACGACAAATGGAGCCACTGAATTTATTAATAACTGACCACACCCACTACCAGTGATTATTAATAACTTTTAATTAACTATTTTGATAACTTTTCAATCAGTTATTAAGTGATAATTATTGGAGTCTTGTCTCCTTCCAATGATAGAGTCTCTTGGCTTGTTCCCATTCCTCAATTGAGAGAGAGGTGTTCCCATTGCTAATGGCAACATAACGGGCCAATGAAAGAAGAGAATGAAACACTTCACCAGTTGCACCATCAGATCTCCTCATTGATACAAAATCATCCTCCAGCCTCTGAAGAATAAATAATAACAAATATTAAAGGAGATCAAACTTTCTATACAACATCAGTACAAGTACATGTATCAGAACCATCAAAATCAAGAATTTTCTACTTCTTAATTTTGACAAAATTTGGCCAAAGTCCTTGTACTATAGTACAGGGACTTTGGTCTGACTTTGAGTAACTACAAATTAATATAAGAGTAGTACCTAGTCCTCACTTACACAAAGTTGATCGAGTCCAACAAGCATAATAACACAGTGTGTACCTTTTGTATATCAGACTGAAGGGAGTAGTTAATGTATCTAGAAACTGTTAGGTAGACTCTTAACTTGTCCCACGCATCAGGAGAGACCTCATTAATAACTGAAGGAACAGAAACTGGAGGAGGCACCAATGGTATATGATAATCAGCCTATTAATCAATCAATTAATTAATAATAATAATAATCTTACTTTAATTATTGATCTTCCTTCAGACAGAATGAGTACAGGCTATTAATTAATAGATATTATTATTATTATTATTATGTTAATTAACTCACGATGTCAGTGTTGAAAGATTGTGTGTGATACTTAAAGTCATAATTAACGTGTTGCCATTGTACCAATGTACCCAGTGACATCATATTAGCCACACCCAATTCGTTAAGCTGTCCCTGCTCCATACACAATTCATCAATAATTAGATGAGTACCTGCAGTTATTAATAGTTATAAATGGTTATTGGTGGTTAATAATAGTTATTAATGTTATTAACAGTTATTAATGTTAGTAACAGTTATTACCATTTGATAGTTGGAGGAGTCCAGTGTGGAGTCTATTGTCAGTGTAATCTTTGGAAGGTACAAATTTTAATGAATTTAAATTAAATAAATCAAGAGGCAGATAATGAGCCTATCAATAAATAAATAATTAATTAATGAATTAATTAATTATCAATGATGTTCCTTACTTTTGTTACCAATTGTTCAATTATTCCAAACAACTTTTTTGCAAAATCTTTTGGACATTTTGAAATATTCAAACAAAACTTTCCCAAAGCTAATACTTCAGTCCTGATATTACTAACAACAACAAAATAAACAACCACAATAAATAACAACAACTCACACGTATGATATTAAATGTAACAATAAATATTCAGCTGCTGTAGTATCTCCTAAACATAGCCCAGTTAATATATCAAGCAAAGAATCACGACACTCCTTGAAATTAATAATATTAATAATATCTAAAAAGAACAATAATCATTAATAATAATAATAATAATAATACATGTAAGTACTTTGATGGTTGATGGTTGGAGGGAGTAGAGGGTTGGTGTGAGTGAGGGGTGTGGCTTTAATACAATAAAGGAGAGGTCCTGAGTCATCATTACCAGTACTTAATATTCCGATAAATTCAATAATTGAATTAATTAATATCTCTTCATTATCATATACCTATTACTTAATTATTTATTATTATTATTATGATTAATTACTTTAATTATGCAAGATGGTCTTGTTTCCCCTGGCAACGGATTATTTAATAAAATGGGAGGGGCAGCAATGCTGTTGCCATTGGCAACTGGATCAGTACTTCTACGTCTCTTAGTGGACTGGGTTGCTATGGAAACATAAATAAAGTATTTTAATGAACCATTTACTCACTGAGTTCATCATCTGTTCCAGTACAATCCAACGACCTCTTCATGTTGCTACTAAGAGTGGGTACCATGTCCCCTTGACCACACCCACCAATCTATTATTAATTAATGACACGTTACATGTACAGTATAGTTTACTGATTGTGTCCATTTGGTTTCTCCTGGCACTGGGATTATGACATAGCTGTGGACCTCCTCGTGAAGAACAGAAGTATCATCATCATCAAGGCAGTATCCCTCCTACCAATTACTATTATTTTATTTGTTTATTTATTTGCTTCACTTACAGGAATTTCAACATTATCTTTGTACATTCCACTTAAAACCAGCTAAAACAAAATTAATTAATCATACATTAATTAATCAATTACCTCATCTCCAGTGTCCTTGTTAATTATTTTAAATTGTTTTAAATATAGTTCAGTGTCTAGCTGGTCCTGTACCATACCACGATATCGAACCAACTGTCCATTCACTGCCCCATCTGTCAGTAATGGAATCTATTAATAATAATAATATATAATTATTGATTAATTATTAATAATTATTGATTAATTATTAATAATTAATTTCTAACAGAGGTTTTCCTGCTTTCAAAATACTGAGGAACTTCATTTATTCTTCCACTACCTATACATAATAATGATAAATACATAGGGACTTTATAATTTACTGAAATGTTCTTCAATTATTGAGAGAGGCTGGGTAATGCACGCATCAGCCGCCATATTTAATAGGTGTGGTACAATATTGTGCGTGGGTGTCGGCTAGTGGTGGGGCTGAGTCAGTTGATATGCCTCTCTTAATGATAAGGCATACAGTGAGAAGAAGTCTCTCCACATTACCGCCACTGACTGCCCAACACTATGATATAAAGAGAGGCGACTACAGCAAAGTAATAATTGTGTTATTGTTTTAAATGTACAAGTATTGTTAGGTGAATGATGTAGATATTGAATTGTTTCAAAGTGTGTTAGGTGACAGGGTACTGACAGACCCAGCGCTAGTAGAACCTTATAATGTTGACTGGATGAGGATAATGAGGTTAGTGGGTGGGGCTAGGTTACTGTGACCACACCCACTCATAGAGGTCAGAGTAAAGTTGTACTTCGTCCTAAGACAACTCAAGAAATATCAAAAATAATGAGACACTGTAACGGGAGGAAGTAATTAATAATAATGATGATGAATAATTAATGAGGTACACCACTCAGATTAGCAGTTGTACCACAAGGAGGGAACACTGGACTAGTAGGTGTGGCCTTCTTTGTTTATTTGTTTGCTTGTTTGTTGTTTGTGTTTATAGGAGGTAGTGTTCCTGTGTTTGATGAAATAATAATATCAACATCTCTTATGAATAATGTACTGTCATTGGATGAAACAGCTGGTAGTTGATCCTGTTAGGTCTTTGTTAATTGCCTTTATTGTTAAGGTGTTCTTGTGTGTCAGTCCGGGTGTGTTCTTAAAGATTTGGATAATTATTTATCGGAAAGGAATTTAATGATGCCTCTAGACTTAGGGGCTAAAGGAAGGTAGCAGCAGCTGGTGTTGATGATTGATTGCATCTTCTCCAGTTGTCAGATTGGAGGTAATGTGTCTACTAATGCAGGTGGGTTGAGATTACTTAGATACGGATCACTTCATGGCAATGTACTGGGATTGGAAGCAGTAAGGCGTTCATTATCATAATCAATCATCATCATCATCATCATTATTATTATTATTAATTGTTAGGTTCTTGCCAGTGGTGAAGTTATCAACAGTCTATCAACAGTAAGGAAGGATAATACAGGTAATGTCATGAAGGAGGAGTGAGGCTGTCCTCCTTAATGTGAGTAGGTTATGATATAAAGCAGTTGTTCATTGGATCCGAAGGAACACTGGGAATAGTAACAGCTGTATCAATACTCACTCCAGTTCGTCCTAAAGTAGGTGTGGTTTATAGACCTTGTCTTATTGTACATTGAAATACAGTCGGTAAATGTTGCGCTGGTTTGTTGTGACACTTTTGAACAAGTTCAGTCAGTTTTTGTGACTGGTAGGAAACTCCTGGGAGAGATTCTATCAGGTATGAGTTTATTAGCTCTTGCTTGATGACTGGATGGATGTGCCATAGCTGTAGAGTTCTTTGATTCTTCTTGTTACCAGCTGGTGAAGAAACACCTCTCTTTGTCCCTCCCTCTCTCCTCTCATCACCAGTTCTATGTACTGATAGAAACTGCTGGATCTAACCACAGTCATGATGAAGAAGTATAATAATAATAATTATTATTATTATTATCACAATTATTAGAAATTAAGCCTTTGTTTGGAAGAGTTAATGTCTTCTAATGTAATAATTAACGGTACTATAGCAACAGACTACACTAAAGTATAGTATAATTCTATAAATTAATTAATTATTAATTATTATTAGATGAAAAATATCTGGAACTGCAGAGAATTGATAGCCGAAGCAATCAATAAAGAAGGAGTTACTTACAAAGTGAGTCTCACTGTGAAGGTTATCTTCATGTCCACTATCATCATCATACAGTATGATGTGTCTCTGCCACTGAAGTGTATGTATGAACTGGTGGATATCATGAGAGAAAGACTGAAAGATAAAGCATTATGTGTTCTTGGATATGGACACATTGGGGATGGTATATATAATGTGTGATTGTGTACATATTAATGTATTGTGTTGTAAGGTAATCTTCATTTCAATGCTGTGGGTGGGTCTCATTCCAAGGAGCTACTGGATCTAATTGAGCCATTCATATTTGAATGGACTGGTACGTAACTGTTAGCAGCTGGTCTTTATTGTATAGTTCCAGCTGATAGGAAAGGTAGCATCTCTGCTGAGCATGGGCTTGGGTTTAAAAAAGCTAATTTTATAAATTATTCAAAAACAGATGAAACAGTGTCTTTAATGAGGAGATTTAAAGACCTCTTGGACCCTAAAGTAATGAGAATGGTAGACATTGCTTATTGTCTTCCTTTGCAGGGTATTTTGAATCCATACAAGACTTTACCAAGAATTCATTAACTCATTAATATTCATTGCAATGACTAATTATTTTTATGATCTATGAATAATTAATCATATCGGGGGTGTGGTTTGGTTGTCATAGCTACGGACAAACAAGGTATAGATCCACACAACTGAAGCAAGAAGATAAAGAAAATGGTACGTGCTGTTACTAAAGATACACTCCACTTTTAAGTTGTATCTCTCTATCCCTCTCAGCCTAATCTGTTTGATTTCTTACGGAAACTGAGGGGCATAAAGTCCAGAGAGATAAGACTACTCCTACTGGGCCTTGATAATGCCGGGAAGACAACACTAATGAAGGACATTGCTTCAGAGAAAGATGCATCAACAGAAACTACACCAACTCTGGTAAGAGAGGAGAGACTACTACTAATGGTTATAGTGTATCAGGGTTTTAACGTGAAGTCGGTCAAGACGCAAGGTTTTAAACTGAATCTATGGGATATTGGAGGTAAGGTGCTACCTGATGAGTATCAGATGATGGTATATACCTGATACATACAGGACAGAGAAAGATTAGAACATACTGGAGGAACTACTTTGACAACACTGATGTACTGGTATGTGATGATTACTATTCAGTGTTAATAACTCTCTCTTTGTAGATATTCGTAGTGGACAGCACTGATAAAAGAAGATTTGAAGAAGCCAAACTAGTCCTCACAGAATTATTAGATGATGATAAACTATCAGGAGTACCTGTACTGGTGTACGCTAATAAGCAAGACCTGGTTCATGCAGCAACTGCTTCAGATGTAAGAGAAACAAAGTCCATGTGTAGATACACAACTTCTCTCCAACCATGAACAGGTTGCTAATAGTTTGGATTTAGTGAGCATAGAGAACAGGAGCTGGAGGATACAAGGTTGTTCAGCATTGACTGGGAAAGGAGTAGAAGTAAGCTAAGAGGACATTGTATAATGTCTTCATCATGTGTTGCTTTAGGATGGTATGTCATGGGTCTGTAGGGAAGTGAAGGAGAAGGACAAGCAACTTGCTAAAAAATGATGACAAATGATAGTCAATTTTTTCATAATTTCACAGAGACCACATGCACCTAATGTTTAGTAAAGCAGCTTCAATCTGTTGTAATTATTGTTATCTTTTCTAAAAATTCTACACAACTTTAAATAATGTCACTGACTGATGAATCTGCTATTACTACTATAGTGATTAAAATGGAGACACACACATAGACTTTATATACCACCAGAGACTAGAAGGAATGATTGCTGCATGTTGTGTCTATTGAATGTTTTCAATAACTGTTTGAACAAAAGCTGATGTAGTAATGTTACCACCAACATCAGCAGTGAGGACCTAATGGTAGGGAGAGAGAGTCAGGTGTGTGTGTGGTCAATTGTTCATTACTTTGTCACTGATAGTCTTGTAGACAGCATGTTCAATGGAATCACCATGAGTATGCAAACTATAAAATAACAAACACCATAAGGTCACTCTCCCCCCCACACTACATACCCAAGGTGTCTCAAGAGTCCCACACTACTCAGCAACATGGCGGTTGGGTTAGCAATGTTCCGTGCTGATATCTCACGTCCAGAGTGTCTGGCTCCCTATAAGGAATCATTAGCAAGTCCTGTCTGACTGGTCTTACTGGTTCAAAGATGATGTTATTCACTCCAACATTTCTGCCAGGACATACTCCAGCCCCACCTACTAGCCCTGCCCCAATGTTACTAACAATGTTACCATAGAGATTAGGCATGACCATCACATCAAACTGATAAGGATTGGACACCATCTAATAACCATCAATAACCATCAATAACTACCATTAATAACTACCTGCATGCAGCAGTTATCAACAATCATTGATTTAAACTCAATTTTAGGATATAATGAAGCAACTTCTTCACAAACTTTCAAGAAAAGTCCATCAGAAAGTTTCCTATAACAGTAATTAATGGGCGTGGCAGTGGGTGTGGTCAACCAACATTATATTTGCTTTGTGAATTGCAGTTACTTTCTTACGGTTTCGTCTCACTGCATAATCAAATGCAAATTTAGCAATTCTGTAACTTTTCTCTCTCGTGATAACTTTAAGACTCTCCACTACTCCTGGGACACTCTTGAGGAGGATAGAAAGGGTTAAAAATGACAAACACTACTTTACCTCGTGCTCCAATCCGCTGTATTCTCCCTCTGTGTTCTCTCTTATTATAACAATATCAACATTATCATGTCTAGAGGATTGAGTGAATCAACTGATGATACTGTCATCAGACCATAATACCTTGTCTTAATACCAGGGACGCTTTTACAATAAACTACATTAGCAAACAAATCAAGCTCCTTTCTAATAAAAATAAATAAATAAATATTAATTAATTAATACCTTAATAACTGATTAAGTGATTGATTGTCAAAACTATCAACTCTAGTCCTCAATACCCCTAATTAATTATTCATAATCAATTAATCAATAATTAATAATAATTAAGTACCTTTCAGTCCCAGCCCATTTCTTTTAATAGAAGTCACTGCTTCATTAATTGCGTCCTTATCTTGTGAGATCAATCCACTAATTATTGACATTACATAATACTAATCAATAACTATTAATAACCTTATCGTCACTTCCTCAAAGTGGACTGGAACATTGGCATGGCTAGTCATTAATAGTTATTAAAGCTATTTATTAGTTATTAACTCACCGAAACACTTCTTTTACAGATGCAGCAAGTTCAGGACCCACTCCATCCCCAGGAATGAGTGTCACTGTGTGCTTACCACCATACGTTGACTTGGAGGGCATCTATTCATACTAATAATTATAATAATAACAGCAATAACTGACTCCTTCTTTGGAGGGTATCATGGAGGATACGGGTCTGTATATCTGTAAGAAGAACCGGTGTAACTAGACAATATAAGAATCAAGATATAGTACCTGAGATTTAAGAGTTAGTCTTGAACTGACACTTCTTAACACTTCTCTCAAGGCAGCCATTTTGGCGTTTCCTTTCTAATTATCCGTACAAGTGAAATTTTGAAATTTTACACAATTTGCACCCAATAAGCAAAGCACAATAATTGTAAAAATTCAAATTTTGATTGGAATCAGTTCAAACTTTCTACGCAACTTAAGTACATGTATATGCATCAGAAAATGTAATAAAATTGAGGAATTTTCTACTTGTCAATTTTTGTGAAATTTTATAAAAATCCCTGTACTATAGTACAGAGACTTTTGTCTGATTTTTGAGCAACTTTAAAAAATCATAGAAAATCCAAACTTGATCGGAATCAGCTCAAACTTTCTACACAGCATAAGTACATGTATATGCATCAGAAAATGCAATAAAATTGAGGAATTTTCCACTTGTCAATTTTTGTGAAATTTTACAGGGACTTTTTGTCCGATTTTTGAGCAACTTTAAAAAATCATAGAAAATCCAAATTTGATTGGAATCAGCTCAAACTTTCTACGCAGCATAAGTACATGTATATGCATCAGAAAATGTAATAAAAATCAAGAATTTTTTCCTTTCATTTTTGGTGAAATTTTCGCTCAGACTTTCGTCCAATTTTGGAGAAACTTTAAAGATTCATAAAATGTCCACACTTGATTGGAATCAGTTCAAACTTTCTGCACAACATAAGAACATGTATATGCATTAGAAAAACTGGAAAACTTTCACCTTGACATTGCTGATAATTAGGTCAAACAGTATACATTAAAATGATGTCATGATGACGTTTGCATTTTAAAAGTAGCTGAGTCAGCTTCTTGATTGAAAATGACAAACGTAGCTCCTGCTCCTTCTGCTCAGTCTGGGCCTCCCTCTTACAATCAAGGTGGAAAGATAGATCCTCAACAGCCAGCAGTGGCCATGATGGCTGGCCAGCCGGTTCCAATGATGATAATGGTAAGTTTGAAAGCCTCATATTGAGAAGTGGATTATACTTCCTTCACAATAGCAGCAACCATATCAACCAGCAATGGCTCCTTATCCTTACATGATGCCTCCCGTCAGACCTGAGCTACCCCCAGAGTTCATTCCTAATGATTATGTGATCCCTACTGTCATCATCTTTGCTCTCTGCTGTGGTTTGAATCTCTTAGGCCTCATGTTTGCTGGGCCAGCTCTTGCCTTTTCTATAATGGTAAGACATTAGCTGATATTGATCACTAATGCATTATGCTGGTTTTTAGTCTTTTATGCAGAAATCTAATGGTGTACCATTTTACCCTCAAGCCAAGCAATATGGAAAAGTTGCTCTTATTTTGGACATCATTGCAGTTTTATGGGTTGTTGTCTGTGCTGTTGCTATAGCTGGTCCAATAATGGGAGTTTACTTGAGTTATTAATACAATTATTGATTAACCTCACATATCAGTTGTATACAGTCAAACTTTATTACCATAACCTTTTAATGTCATGTTCTTCCATATATAATATAATATGCACATGCAGCTTTTTAACATTGAAATATTGGCATTAGCATGGCCTTGGACTCTCATTCTGTTCCTCTTTGAGCAGACTAACACTACAATGCTTGCATGCATCTGGTCTATACTTTGTGAAGATAATTGCGATAAAAATTAATCAAAGTTCACAGCATTTTATGTCAAAGATTACAAAGATATATTAAGCTTAACATCAGCACCTAGTCCAGTCCATTTGTCAGGGACTGGAGTAAAGTAACGGTCCATTGCATCAATGAACCTCTTCCTATAAAGTTCAGGATATACAACAGTTGGTAGTACACTCCTTCCAGCTTTCTTTATGAACATTTCAAGGAATTTATCCAAAGTGAAAGGTCGAACAAAATCTACAATTATTAAAGAAGAAAAGGAAAGAGTAAAAAGTGATAAAGACACTGTATGGACTAACCTATTATACCAACCACTAATTCACCATTCTCTTGATCCAGAGCTGTCAGTAAGGAATAGTCCATTATTGAATTAGTAGCTAGGAACTGTGTGTCTGCCTGGATGGCTTGCATTAGTACTGTTTTTGAATGTGGCCATACATAAACAGGACTGTTATATATATCTACAGACAAAGAAATAATATCACAATTTTAATGACTACTGACATTCTAAAAAGTTTTCATCCATTAACACTTCCCCAGTGACTTCTGGATTCTTAGTATTACGTGATACATATCTACCTCTCATTGATCCTTTCAGATCAAAAACCTTTTTAAAGACACTTCATCAATACTCTATCATAACTACACTAACTTTAGTACAGCGGTGACCATACAAAAGGTTCTCCATTATAATGACATGATGTCTCTTTGAATTACCTGTCTTACTGTTGCGGAACCCAATACTGTATGCCCCTAGTATCTTAGCTAATACCAATGGTCTCTACAATATATCAAGTACACTGTAAGTGTTAGTATACGTGAGTCTCTCTTACATCACTTTTAACAGCTTCAGTAACGTGTTGAAAGTATTGCAAGGCGGTGTCAATGAATGATGTGATTTCAACCATTTGGACTTGCTTCATGATCAGTCGATCCTCTGTAAACAATAGAGACTCATACAAACATAATAATAATAGGAGGAGGTGACAAAACTATTACAACAAGAAATGCCCCATACATTATTAATGATGAACTAACCAAAAGTCTTTAGGAACATTGCCCTTGATTTCCCTCCCTTTGCTTCATACTTAACACAACGGGCAAGTGACCTAATGAACCTGTCATCAATCATACAATGAAATAGTCTAATTAATATCAAGGGTAGTACTTCTCTTCTCCGTCTGGGTATATGTGCTCTCTTAGTTTCCGGAACTCCTCAGCATAATATACTTTACAAAAGAACTTTGCAGTGTCATCAGTAAACTCTGCAGCAATAAAACAAATGATAGCTTAGATTAGTGGCTACCACTGCATTGATGCTAGTTCTTGTGAGTCATCACATGCAAATATACTCATCAGTTTAATAATTTCCTCACCTAAACTGATGTGCCTGTTTTCATGTGAGCTGCTGAACCTGCTACTACTGGCAGTATCAGGAGTGCTATTCCACTTGATACTAGCAAACAACTCATTCTCTTTCTCTCCTTCAACATCTTCCACTGGATTCTCTACTCCTCCTTGTTGCTGTGGTTGATCTACACTACCAGTAGTATCGTTAGCAGTGGGGGTGGAGCTAGTGTTGGGATGACGGCTCTTGTACCAATCAGAGAATGCAGTCTTGAGTTGTTTGAATCCAGACTGTCTTGAAGCAGTAGGAGGAACATTCGTTGAACTCTCACCTTCTGTTACACTATGAAGGGAATGAAACCTTAAGACTACTAATCTGTTACTATTAATACTGCCATAGACTGGCACACTCTAACATTTGAACATTCATACATACATATAAATCTGTCCCAACAATTCTATAGTATTATCACTAATGATTGGTACTTACATTGCTGGAGGTATTGGTGCAGTGGATTCTGTGATCCCTTTCTTTCTCTCGTCTAGTAAAAGTTTCAATTCATTTGCATATTCACGAGAACAGAGAGCAAATGCTATGATTGAAGTTGGCTCATTCTCATAAACTGAAACATGAAACCTCAAACTACCACGAATCAAATGATGCTCTGTAAGATCACTAGGATTGGAAAATTGTACATTAATCTTCATTATTAAAATATTAATGTGTCATGGACAGACGTAGCTTACAAAGGAGGAGGCAGTTTTTGAAATGGCTTTGAAAATAAAAATGGAAGCTTCTCCAATGTTTGCTTCTTTTCTGAAGACTTGGTGATGGCAGAAGCAGCTACCAACACACAAAAAGAATTATAACTAATAAAAATGTCACTTACAATCAACATCTTCACTTTTACCATTAGCAACAGGACCACTAGCAGGATCTAGTATAAAAACATTTTGTAATATAGACTACACATGTACATCAATGTTTACATCTTTTAGGTGATGGAGCACTTAATTTACCACCTCTAGCTGCATCTCCATTATCTGTGTCATGTCCACTAAATAGGTAAATAAATAAATAAATAAATAAATAAATAATATCCTAACCCTGTTGCTTGAATGGTATAAAACTTTTTAACATCATCAGAATCTTTGCCTGTAAGAATATAATAAATAATAAAGTGTTCCTTTATATTTCCAATGTGGGCTTGTATCATACATTTACATGTACACTGTACATGTACCTCTTAATTTTTGTAAGATATCAGTGTCATCAATTTTCAATAATGTGGTCATGTAGACTGACTCCTCTGGCTCCTCCAATGCTAGGTTCATTCTATCACTGGCCCCCTCAGTATCAAGGACAGGAGCAGTGAGTCCACCACCAGTACTGATATTATCACTAGATGAATGAGGACTTCTATTGATACGAATGTCACCACTTGAGGTGATGGTGGGTGGCAGTTCAAGACTGTCAGTAACACTCAATGAGTGATCTCTTCTAACCATAAGCTCATCACTTATGTCTTCCTTTGATGATTCAGCTGTAGATTTGTTAACTCCAGCCTCCCCATGATTGACAGGTAATGCTAGAGAATCCGAGAACTGTCTCTTGTGTCTTCTTTGAACTGTTGAGCAATCAATGGACTGGGACTGCCAGGAAGGAGGAGTGAGGGTGGCTCCTGACTTCTTGACTAGTGTGGGACTCGTTTTATTGAAGAATGAGCGGTCGTTTGGTTTACGCTTGGACTGAGGGCTGGAATGAGGACTGACTGAGGGGGTCTGGTCTTCAGTGTTGTGAGGAGTAGAGAGACCATCCTTACGAGCAAAGACTTCCCTCAGACTAGTATCAATCTCATCCAATCTAATAATAATAATAATAATAATAATAATAATAATAATAGTAATAATAATAATAATAATAATAATAATAATAATAATAATAATAATAATAATAATAATAATAATAATAATAATAATAATAATAATGAATAACAGTTCACTGTATGTATACATGTGGCATGTTACAAGTAAATGAATGCGATAGTTACTCAATATTGAAACAGAAGACAGCTTCAGCTATGAGTCTCTTAAGGTCTGCCACAGAGTCCTGGAGTATGAATACATTACCAGATACTTCCTCGTCAGCTTCAACTGGTTGGACCAGTCGTGGGAAAACCCCAGCATGGGCACACAGTTCTTTCAATCTCTTCACTTTATTTCTGTAGTTCTCTCTCATTGCTTTAGCCCTTGCAAAAGCATCTTTAACTTTAGAAGCAGCTGGTTCAATATTGAAGAGAGTTAAGTATTGCATGACTCTGAAAAACACTCCTTCCACACTAAATAAATAAAATTACAATTCTTATCATTTAAAATATAGTTATTAGTCTTTACATCTTCCCAAGACGCTTGATCTCTTCAGGATAGCTGTGGTGCCACTGTATGCTGCTGGCGGTTTCTATGGTAATGTGCTGTGGAGGAATCCTCACCTCAAATATATCAATGGGCAATGACCTGAAATAATAAAATAAATAATAAATAAATAATAAAAGTTACAGGAAGAGAGAGGAGTGACAATAGAATGAGGAGGATAGGAATGAGAAGGATGCTTACTCAAACACTGCTACTTTGTCACCAAAGCAGAAGTACTGTATGTAGCTCGTGTTGATGGGATGGCTACAGGAGGAGGTGGTAAGAGATTCCTCCTGGCCATTGCTTTCCTGTCCACCATTGAAGTTGAAAGAAACATAGTTGCTGCCATAGAACTTTAAATCAAGGAACTTAGCAAAAGAATAAAGAAGAGTATCAGCAGACAAAGGAAGGAGTGGAGTGCTACTCTGAGACTATTAATCAATTAATAATAATAATAATAACAATCAATTACTAATCACTATACATGTACATGTACATGTTCTTATGTTGCATAAAAAGTTTGAGCTGATTCCTATCAAAATTGGATATTTTTACAAATTTTTGAAGTTGCTCCAAAATCTGCCCAAAGTCCCTGAGTGTCTTTAGCCAGATTTTGCCAAAAATGAAAAGGAGAAATTTTTCATTTTCATTACATTTTCTGAAGCATATACATGTACCTAGTACCTAGTACATGTACAAGGTACATGTATTAAGGACTCACACTATTGCACTTGAGGCAGGTGGACCAGGTGAAGATACTCTTGTCCCCTCCTGGTATTGGCATCGCCAGCTGCTGCATTGATATCCTAAGCTCCTGCCTCCCGTGAACAAAGTGCCTCTGGTGCTTGCTCATATCAATCTCACACGACTGGCATATGTAAGAATCACGGAAGCAATATCGATGAAGGAACTCTCCCAGTGGTATGTCATTACGACCATAGTAATTCATTGGAATATGACTACACAAAATAATGATAATAATCAATAATAATAATGACAATATTTGTTTAATGACAAAATTATTAAAAATTAAAAAATTATTATTATCTTAAACAATATTCAACATACCATGGTTGAACACAGGGATAGAGCTGTTTCTGTAAGTGCTCATCATTGCAAGTGCTACTGAAGACAAGAGACAGGAACTGATGGTTGGAAGGATCCAGACAATCACTTTGCTACACATAAAATTAACATTTAATACATGTACACACAGTCACACATTAGCATTACATTAGGATTAGGTAAATTATCGTCCATTAGGAATCCGCTCCACTCTCCATTAGAAGGGACTGGAGGGCCAGTCCTGGTAGTCTGTCCTTTAGAATCAGGAGATTGAACTATTTGTTCTAACACCTAAAATGATTAACCATCAACTTTTAGACTTGGAACCAATAAAAACGTAAACTGTACAACAGAACTATCACTAACTTGAGTGAGTCCAATACCATTATCAGCACTATCAGTATCCTCCTCTTCATCATCACCAGCAAGAGGAGGAGGAGGAGGAGGGGGTGGAGCAGTAGCAGTAGTGGCATTAGGAATACCTTGATCTCTTAATGAAGGACTGGAAGAATAAGATCCTTCATAACTGTGAGTGGACTGTGGTACTTGAGGATCATCAACTTGTTGTTCATTAGTGTCTGGAAATAATTCTTCTGTGCTTCCATTCCATGAGTGGCCAGCCATCAGCTCAAACTCACGAGAGCCAGCAAACACTCCTTCCAGCCGCTGATAGACATCAGCTGACCTCTTGGCAGTTGGAAAAAAGAACTCACATGTGTTCTCAAGAAGACAACTCATGGCCCGAGACCTGAAGTCAGCCAAAGCTGATTTATATCCGTTATTAGTGGAGCGATCTTTGGGATTGTTTATTGGGAGTAAGAAGGAAGAGTGTGTGAAAGGATGGGAAGACACACTCCTGTACCTACAGGCTGACTGAACACTAACAGTAGGAGGAGGAGGTAACTGGGATTGGCTACCATCAGTGGCAGGATCACACTGGTCTGGAGCATGTGGTATCTCATTGGTTGGTTTAAACCAATGGGACCAATAAATGGACTGTGGCAAGTAGCACCTTATATGAGCCTTTAGCCCTTGCTCTGTCTGGAGGTAAGGAGTAGCAAATGACAAGAAAGGAGACATTGAGATGATGTGAGAGGAAAGTACAGCCTGGAATGCTTCTTCAGAGGTGAGCTGTACAGCAGTACCAGTACCAGTACTAGTGTCAGTACCAGTACCAGTACCAGTACTAGTGTCAGTACCAGCAGTACTAGTGTCAGTACCAGTACCAGCAGTACTAGTGTCAGTACCAGTACCAGCAGTACTAGTGTCAGTACCAGTACCAGTACCAGTACTAGTGTCAGTACCAGTACCAGCAGTACTAGTGTCAGTACCAGTACCAGTACTAGTGTCAGTACCAGCAGTACTAGTGTCAGTACCAGTACCAGCAGTACTAGTGTCAGTACCAGTACCAGCAGTACTAGTGTCAGTACCAGTACCATTACCAGTACTAGTACCAGCAGTGCCAGTACTGGTACCGGTATCAGTACCAGTACCAGCAGTACTAGTACCAGTCTCAGTAGGCAATGGCTCGGTGGTATGAGTATTAGTATCCTCAAGAACTGGATCCTCAGGATCCTCCTCTTTCTCTTCAATACCTTCTTGAGTGCTGCTAGTAGCAGAGACTCTCTCTCCTTCCTCAATGAAGAGTGATGGTGAGAAGCAGTGCAGTGATTGCGTGGGCGTAAGAGGAGGAGTGACGTATCCATCATCATCATCCTGTCCTGAGTCCTTGATCCTTACATTAGGAGAAGGGACTACCAGTAGGTCACTCAGATAAGAGCACTCCAGTTTCATATTGTACGCAATCTGAAGTCCAAACAGGACCACCTTCTTCACTCGTTTAAGAACATTCTTTGAGTTTCCTTGGAGCATGATGACTCCGCCCAGTCTTGGCTCGCACTCATCCAGGTATATCAGTGTCTTCCTGATTCCCTCTGGGAGGGTGTAGGTTCGGACGTAAAAGTGGCCACAAGTTCCTAGTTTGATGTCAAAGTAGAGCTGATCAAGGTTAGTGATGAGGTCCGCCTGAGTACTACGAGCAATGCGTCCCATGACTGATGGTTTTATGTTAACGACCACCACAATACCGTGAGAATGGAGTATCTCTAGAGCAAATCGAGACACTGACTTCTGTACCAGTATAACTGTTGGTCTAACCCTCTTGACCCTCTCAACAAGGTTCTTGAGGTACTCCTTCTCCTGCGAGAGGAGGGTATCAAAAGAGGAGAGCTGGTTCTCCTTCCTCTGGAACTCAAAGGCACACTTTAGCAAGAGGATCCGAGGGTTCCGAAGGGACATGTTCATCTTCTTGTGAATGACGTGTTTAGTGAAGACAACGCCATTAATGAAACTAGAAGAAGACATTCGACCCCCAGGGACCTTCTTTACTTTACAGTAAGCTGTGATATCCATGAAATCATCAGGGGTGACATCAGTAGAGACAGTGTGACTGGCTGTTAGTACAAGTGGCCGTATTGTCTCAAGCCACTCCAGTGAGAGACCAAGGGTCTTCAATTGCTGGATTAGGAACGCATCAAGGTGCTTGTGGTAACTGGCCAAGTGTTGGGCTTTGATCTCATTATAAACTGATAGTTCCTCAAACTGTTTGCTAGCTTGAGTTGCTTTAGAGTATCCAGGAATAGACGGTCCGGCAGCATCAGCATCAAGAATACTGAAACTGGTGACAGAGTGAATGGTAGAATCAAACGGGAGTGGGTGGAGTGTTGAAGTGGGAGGGAACACGTAATGACCTGGTGCTATTGATTTATTAGGCTCCTGCACTTCAATGGCCTCTTGAGGTAGCCCCTCATTCTTAATCACTTCAAAATCATCTTTCCTTGGTTCCTTGGGTATTTCCTCAATGACGATTGGTGGATCTTTATTTGCAGGTTCTTCTGGTATCGAGTTATCAAGTGGAAACACGTCAGTGAGTCTCTTGCGACGGAATGTTGCAAGGCCACTATCAGTGTCTAGATTGGCTTCAGTCAAACTTGTTTTCCTTTCAAACTGAGTGTGAGCCTCGTCTTCATTACTGAGAAACCAGTTGGGAGCATCAGCTACTGTCGGACTAGTTGATGTGTTGTTGAGCTGATTGTCCTCTCCCATCTCCAGTATAATATCTTTAGAATCTTTAAACAACTGATCTTGAGTTGAGACTATCTTCAGGCACTTGGTATGAACTAATGCTTCACCAATTCGCTCCGCCATTTCCCTAAATAAAAACAAAGTCAGTTCATATCAATAATTTACAACTTAATGACAAATTAGAAATTTCAATAAAGTCAATTTTGATCATAACCAGCTAAAGCTAAATAACAAAATATAGCCAGCACAAGTTCTTCCACAATAATTCCATCCATTGAACTTTAACTAGTATCACAAAGCTATGGCCTTGGGTACTTTTCAAAACTTATTGGTCGAAACTTGAAAAATTGAAGTTGGAATAAGCTTAAACTTTCTACACAGCATAAGGACATCAATATGTATCAGAAAATTTAATAAAAATTTGGAGTGAATTTTTGGCCATTTTTTGAAAAAAACCATGGGCTATAGCCTTGGGTATTTTTCAGAATTTTGACATTTTTTAAAAATGACCGTAACTTGCAAAATTGAAATCGGAATCAGTTCAAACTTTCTACACAGCATAAGGACATCAATATGTATCAGAAAATTTAATAAAAATTTGGAGTGATTTTTTGGCCATTTTTTGGAAAAAAACCATGGACTATAGCCTTGGATATTTTTCAAAATTTTGACGTTTTTTTTAAATGGCCGTAACTTGAAAAATTGAAGTCGGAATCAGCTTCTACACAGCATAAGGACATCAATATGTATCAGAAAATTTAATAAAATTTGGAGTGATTTTTTGGCCATTTTTTGGAAAAAAACCATGGACTATAGCCTTGGGTATTTTTCAGAATTTTGGCATTTTTTAAAATGGCTATAACTTGCAAAATTGAAGTCGGAATCAGTTCAAACTTTCTACACAGCATAAGGACATCAAAAGTCTTAATTCCTCTAGTTCTAACAGTTGTTACCTTGATCGTGCCATCTTCATGTGGAGGAGCCACTCTATTATTTCATGGGCAGAATAAGAACTGGGAAAGTTCCTGAACCTGTGCCTGTGGGTCACTGGATATGGACCTGTTGATTTGTCACAAAACTTCTGCCAAATCTCTTGCAATCTGACCTCCACTTCATCCTAAGAATACAACAGAATATTAATCCATGAAGGAGTCTTGCTAGACTGGTTTATAGTGCTTCAGTGTGTTTGCACTGCACATAGAAGTGCTGAATGATACTTAAGAGTATAAGATTAGAAAACACAGTAATACTTTTACAATACTAATAACATACCAATAATATACTAATAATATACTAACAATATACCAATAATATACTAACAATCAATAATACATTGCAGCTCTTACTTCAGCTAGTGCCAGTATATTCTCTTCACTCCCAACGGTTTTTCTTAAGGTCCGCTGGAGTCTGCTGGGGGTTGGATTATCAAACTCAATACCGATGCTACTAGAACGAGAAGGGGAATTAACATCAACCTCTAACTCAGGATCCCATGAAACCCGGCTCTGCATCAGTGAAGAACTGACGGATACTGTATCAGTATCAAGGTAAGCACCTGGGTCTGATACCCCAGTACTGGTGCTCATTAAAGATCGGGTCATCATCGGCGTCATGTTTTGGACCTCTGGGTTAGATCGACTGGACACAACTTCATAGAATATGCTCTTGCAAGCTAGACAGACCCTAATGTTACCCGTCATGTTGGGCCTGAAGAGATTGCCAGGTATTGTGTGGTTACTGCACGAGTGGCAGTAAATACGACCACAGACTCTGCAATGATGACGTCTCACAAATAAAGAGAAACGGACACCACACTCCGAGCACTCATGACAGAGTTTATCAGGCATCCAATGGGCAATGGTGCTCTCCGATACTTGGAGTGTCTGCAATAGAGAAAGAGAGTACATATTCAAGACTAAAGAAAAGATCCTAACATGCATATATAATAATATTACACTACAATACATATTATATTATTATTATTATTATAACTCCACCCACCACAACTCACATTGGAGCTGATTATTTTATCAATCTGTTCCTCTACAATTGAGCGGTGGGACTGGGCCATAGGGCCACTCCCTCCAGTGCTAGTAACACCAACCGCAGTTGCACCAGACAGTGAAGTAGTGGAAGACTGTGACACTAACTTGCGAGTACGACCTCTAGCAGGGACAGGCTGCTGTCTCTGAATACTGGATCCACTCACCCTCTGCTGCTGCTGTTTAGTCCCAGGAGGAGCAGGTGTAGGCTTAGTGTTACTGGCAGGAGGAGCTACAGGAGGATTTCTTGATTGTTGAGGCTGTGTTGGTCTTTGTGCTGCGTTGGCAGTAGTGACGTGTTTGGTCGTCTTAGGAGAGCTGGAGCTTTTGACTGGGCCTTGGTGTACCTGCCTACCGCCTCCCCTGGACCTGAGAGCCAGTGACGGCTCTTCATAAGGACGGAATGAAGTGAGAGACTTGTCACTATCTTTAGTACTGTCAACTGGCCAAGAATCAACAGCAGCCATCTTTAGTCTTAAGAGACACGCCCAGAGAAACCACGCCCCATATGAATAAATCAAATTTCATTATTAATAATTATTTTTCCAATAACAAAAATACAACATTAATCTTACACGTACAGTCATGTACATGTGTGTCGTACATGTAATTCAGCATAGACTCATTCACTATTGATGAACCACCATTACTCATTATTGTGTACGTCTGTAGGAGCAACAATAGGAATGGCTTGACTGGGTTTCTTCTCAGTAGCAGCTGGTGCCACTACAGCAGGAGAGGGGCTGGACTCATGACTGCTGTCAACAGTAGGGGATGGTTTCAAGTCTCCAGTAGACAGAGGGTAACGAGGAGGAGGAGGAGTGAGAGGAGGAAAGTGATGAGGGCTGGGTAATAGTGTGAACTGATCCTGAGGTCCCATCAGGTGAGGCAGGAGAGGTATTAGAGGTGGATTAGCTCCAGCAGCAGCTCCTCCTGTGTGCTGACTGTACATGTCTTGTAAGAGTCTCATGTGCTGCTGGTAGTAATGAAGCTGTTGCTGCTGAGCTTGGTAAGAGCTAGGGTCTACTTGGTGAGGTATCATGGAGGGATGGGGAGGGTATACCCAACCATAACCAAATGGAGGAGGAGGAGGATATTCCATTCCTGTACCTGCAAATAATGAAACATTATACTTCTTCACAAACATTTATGGTATAAATTAAGTCATTTCTCTATGCAAAGGAAGTAGGCAACCCAGTGCTAGTTGTTCTAATGCTTGTGGCTCAAAGATAACATGTACAGTATATGTACATGTACATGTACAATATAATGGTCATGCAACTTCAAAGCGATCATACTTATTATTATTATAAATTATTTACTTGGCATTGTTTTATCTGCTGAGTCAGCTCCTTCAGCCTGATCAGGTTTCTGACGTCTTGAAGAGTACCTCTTTGGTTTAGCAGGTCCTCCTTTACTGTCCACCTCATTTGACTCCATTGGATCACCAGCAATAGTCTCCTGTCCTTCTGGTTCATCATTAGCCTCTTGAGCTGGTTTATCATTACCATCATTGTTAGTAATGCCACTATGAGGAAGGGGGCCAGTGCTACTAGTAACGGTATTATTACTAGTCACTGGTGGGTCTCCATTAGAACTGACTGATTGGGTCATTGTCTTTCCTACTAACCCGATATCTTTGGATCCTGAGGTTATTCCCCTTCCCCTTCCTCTTCCTCTTCCTACTCTCCGCCCACTGGTGTGGTCAACTTCTCTCACCACTAGTCGGTCGTTGCCACTCAGAGAGAAAACTCGTGATGAAGAGAAAGAGAATAGCGATTGGGATTCTCCCTCATGGCTGGTTGCATTACATTCATTAACACTATCATCTTTCTTGGTAGAATCTTCATTCTTAGTTTGAGCCTCCTTCTCCTCTCTTCCAGTGGGCCTATTCCCTTCATTAGGCTCCCAGTCATTATCATCCCTTCCTCTATCATTCCTCTCTCTCCTTCCATCTTGTCTTCCTTCATTGTTTCTTTGTCTTCTTTGTTGATGTCTCTCCTGGCCTCTCTCACTACTCCAGCCTCCCTGGGTGCGTCTTCCCTGGTTATACTCATCTCTTTGGTTAGATCCTCCATGGTTCTTAAACCCTCTCTGTCTTTCTTCGCTATCTTTCTCTTTATTTTTAGTTCTTCTCTTCATCTCTTGGGTCTCCAAGTCTTGGTCCCAATTCTCTCCATTATTGTCCCAGCTCTCTTTCTCTCTATCCTGATCATCCTCCCAGTTCTCTTGAGGTACACTTTGGCTAGTTCCTTCCCAGTTTCCTCTTCTTTTATTAAAGTTTCTTCTATCTCTGTTGCCTTCTCTCCCCCTCTCCCTCTCCTGGTTATGTTGTCTAAAATCTCTTCTATTTCCTCTTCCTTCATTCCTTCCTTCTTGATGATATTGTCCATCTCTCCTCTCCCTCCCCTTGTCTCTATAGCCCTTCTCCTGGTGAGGATACGCTCCACTCTCATTC